CCCTTCACCATCCCTCACAGTGGCCTTTTAACTGGGTCTTAATGCTGGGAGACAGGGTGGACTTCTAGATCATGTAAACACTGTGCTTGGCTGTCACCTGATCGTGAGCCTGTCCTGCCAATTCCTGATCATAAACAGAGACTGGTAGCTGTCTGTGACAACTTCGCAACTGATCTGGGAGTGGGTTTTCAGCACAAAAACCTCAACCGCCATAAACACATACAGTGCTCAGCATAAATGAGTACACCCCTTTTGAAAAAATGTTTAGAAAACTAAGTTTTATAAAACATTTGTTCAGCTCATTACATGAAAGTAAGATTTTATTCAAATTATTTGATGCAAAAATGAAAACACCCCACACCAAAAACGACTACATCTAGGATTTTGTATGACCTCCATGATTTGTAAGGACAGCATCAAGTCTTCTAGGCATGGAATGAACAAGTTGGTGACAACTGCAACATCTATCTTTTTCCATTCTTCAAGAATGACCTCTTTTAGAGCCTGGATGCTGGATGGAGAGTGATGCTCAACTTGTCACTTCAGAATTCCCCTTAGGTTTTCAATTGGATTCAGATCAGGAGACATACTTGACCACTGAATCACTTTCACCCTGTTCTTCTTCAGAAATGCAACAGTGGCCTTAGATGTGTGTTTTGGATCATTGTCATGTTGAAAAAGTGCACGACGACCAAGGTCATGGAGTGATTGTAGCATCTTCTCTTTCAATATAGAGCAGTACATCTGTGAATTCATGATACCATCAATGAAATGCAGATCCCTGACACCAGCAGCACTCTGGCAGCCTCACAGGACACTGCCACCACCATGTTTCACTGTAGACACCATGCATTTTTCTTTGTACTTCTCACCTTTGCGATGGCATACAGTTTTGAAGCCATCAGTTATAAAAACATTATCTTGTTCTCATCAGGAGTACAGAGTCACAGTAGTCTTAGCATGGGCCCTGGCTAATTCTAGACGGGCTTTTTTGTGCATGGGCTTTAGGAGAGGCTTCCTTTGTGGATGACACCATGTATGCCATTCCTCTGCAGTGTGCGCCGTATTGTATCACGGGAAACAATCACCCGTTTGGCTTTTTGCATCTTTAGATAACTGCAGTGAACTTGGATGATGATTTTCTTCAACCCTTCTCATCAGAAGATGCTCCTGTCGAGGTGTTAACATCTGTGGATGGCCTGGACATCTCTGTGAGATGGTTGCAGTTCCATCTTTGTTACATTTTTTAATCACTTTTGCTACAGTATTCTGACTGATAAGTAAAGCTTTGCTGATCTTCTTGTAGTCTTCACCTTTCTTGTGTAAAAAAATTATTTCCTTTCTCAGACCTTCTGACATTTTTCTTCCATGTGGTGCCATTGCTGACAGCATGAAAGGGAAGGGTTATTTTTGGTTAAAGTGTTACTAAACCCACAACAGTAAAATCAGTCTGTATATGCAGTAAAGCATGCTGGTTATACTCACTGTGGAACCTAAGGTGTTAATCCTCTGCATTGTGTAAAAATGCTGTTTGACCCTGACTTCTCTGATCCTCCCCTTCTTCCAGTGTCTCCCTCTTATGTCCTGCTAAGACATATCATGTGGAGTCATTCTGCACATGCTCAGTTTGGTGTGTATTGCTGGAGAGGTGTTTTTTTTTTTTCTTGGGAGAGTGCATGTGGTCAGCACAGGGCCAATCAGCACTGTCCAAACAGAGGTCAGGGATTTTGCATCCTCCTAGATCAGAAAGAAAACTCCTCCTACAAGCTTTAACATGTGCTGTGCTAGACACTGATAGAAGTCACAAGATTGCTCTAACGGCTGATGAGAAAAGGTATTTAGCTAAAATAATTGCATTTCCACATTCTATGTACTATGGGAGACCAGATAGAGTGAATGCAGGGTCTTGGGTTTAGCAACACTTTAACCGCTTCCCGACCCCATAAATAATACAGTTCTCCTCTGTCAGCTCGTGCACACTGCTTTGGATGGCTGTGCACAGCCATCCAAAGCAGTGTGATTACAGTGAAGCACACATACAGAGCTTACTGTGAAACAGCACACAGTTAACCCTTTGGTCGCCCCTTCCTGCTCAGTGCCATTAATACAGTGTCTGTGCCTTTTTTTTTTTTTTTTTTTTTTAGCACTGATCACTGTATTGGTGTTAGTGACATCAAGTCAGTTCCCCCTAGTGTCATAATGCCCGCTGCAGTCCTGCTATAAGTCGCTGATCGCCGCCATTACTAGTTAAAGAAAAAAAATTCCAGTATCTATACTGCCATTTGTAAAACGCTATAACTTTTACATAAACCAATTAATTTACATGTATTGTTTTTTTTTTTTTTTTTTTTTTAGCAAAACACATAGCAGAATACATTTTGGCCTAAATATGACAAAATTTGATTTTTTCAAAATTTCTTTTACTGGACATGTTTAATAGCAAAAGTAAAAAAATATTTTTTCTCAAAATTGTAATTTTTTTATAGTGCAAAAAAATAAATAAATAAACCCAAAAACACACAGGTGATCAAATACCACCAAAAGTTCAAATCGTGGGGGAAAAAAAAAAAAAAAAAAAAAAGACATAAATTTCATTTAGGTGCAGCGCTGAATGACCGTGTAATTGTCAAAGTAAGGCAGCACCGTAACGCAAAAAATGGCCTGGTCAGGAGGGGGATAAATGCTCTGGAGGGCAAGTGGTTAAGTAACGCCCTTTTATTATCAACTGTCTGCTGGATACCTGTTTAATGACAAGTCTCAAGACTTTCATTGGTGTGTATTCTTTTTTGCAACATGGTCTTGAATAAATGTTAGGAAAAATACTTTGTGTGTGCAAATGAACATATCTTGTTTGCAATCAATGGCCCGCATTTGTGGAAGTATTTTATAGTATAGTGTTCAATAGAAAGTGTTGATTCTGAAAAGGAAAGTAAAAAGGTTTGCTGACAAATCTGTAGGGGTGTACTCATTTATGCTGAGCACTGTATGTATGGTGTGTGGGTGTTAGGACCTACTCTTCCTGCCATTGCACATATGCTATACATGGTCGGCAAGACGTGTAAGTAGATGTAAACCCTAATGGCAGGATATTTAGTTTAAAGTGATTCTAAAGGTTTATTTTTTTTTAAAGAAAAATAGCAAACATGTCTATACTTACCTGCTGTGTGCAGTGGTTTTGCACAGAGCAGCCTGGATCCTCCTCTTCTCAGGTCCCCCACCAGTGGTCCTGGCCCCTCCCTCCTGTCAGGTGCCCTCACAGCAAGCAGCTTGCTATGGGTGTCCATTCACATACCAAGCTGTGGCTCGGCCCCACCTCCTCTCTTCTCATTGGCTCACTGGCTGTGAATGACAGCTGTGGGAGCCAATAGCTCCCGTTTCTGTCTCAGCCAATGAGAAGAGGGAGCCCCAGAATAGCCTAGACTCCAGTGCACATTGTTGCATCAAGAGGGGGCTTAGGTGAATATTGAGGGGGATGCTGCAGAGGTTTTTTACCTTCAGGCACAGAATGCATGAAGCTAAAAAAAAAAAACCTTGAGCCTTTACAACCACTTTAATAAATCACTCTGTATCAAACTGTCATCTCCTTTTAATAAAGTACTTTTTCCACCTTTGTTACATCTCACACCGATTTCTTCCTTCCTCATTGCAGCCACTACCTGTCTGCATGTGCTACATTGAAGAGTGCATAGCATATCTCAGGGAGACTGTCTTGATGGTGATAACAGAGAACCATGCCTGTGTAAAGTGTTTTGTAATGGCCAACGTAGCTTCACCAGCAGCCCATCAGACAAGGTGACAACACAGGACAAGAACTTGAAGACAGGCACAAAATGCTGTCACCCTGTAAACAGGAAGCTATCAATAATCACCATGGGTTTTTTTAACGAAAGCTGAAGAATTAACCACTTGACTACTGGGACTTTTTCCCCCTTCGTGCCCTGGCCAATTTTCAGCGCTCTCAACACTGTACCCACATGAAATTTTTAGCCTTTTTTTTTCACACAAATAGAGCTTTCTTTTGGAGGTATTTAGTCGCCACTGGGAGTTTTATTTTATGCACTATTAAAAAAAAAACCAAAAAAACAAAACAAAAAAAAAAAAAAAAAAAAAAAACACTGATGGGCACCGATAGGCAGCACTGATGAGGTGGCCACCAAGGAGACGGCACTGGTGGGCATTGATGAGGAGGCACTGATGATGCTGCACTGATATGCAGCAATGATGGGCACTGATAGGCGGCAGTGATGGGTGCTGGCTAGCAGCACTGATGAGTGGCACTGATCATCAGTGCCCTGATGATCAGTGTCGATCTGCTCTGTGACATTTGCTGGCAATCGGCAGTACTTTCCTCACGTTGTGACAGTGTGAGGAAAGTGCTGCCGATAACCGGCAACTGTGTTTACTCGGTGATCTTCTGTTATTGGACACAGCTGATCACGTGGTAAAAGGCCCCTGTGATTGGCCTTTTTTCCTGATCATGGAGAGGGCTAGGTGTATTCCACTGGAGCTTGTTCTGGGAGTACGTCATATGACGCCCTCCCAGAACTGGACAACCGTGCTGCTGTAACCGTCATTCGGCTATAGCGTGGCTGTGAAGTGGTTAAACCTTGAAAATTTTGAATTCTCAATAGTATGCTAACACTTGTATGAAATTTCAGTGATTAGTTACATATAAATGTAATAATCACAAAAGTTAGGATGTATAGGGAAATGGATTTAATGTATATTAAACAAAAACGGAAGCCTTTAAAATTCCTCTATAGATTTTATATAAAAAAAAATATACAAATTCACAAAACTCCTGGAAACACAGGTACAGACTCATCTTGCAGATAGGATGGATTATAGCAGGAGAAGGCTGTTATGCTCTTCAACTTGTAATGCGTCTTCTTCAGACAGGCCAGTCTCACTTTTCAGTAAATGTTAACACTTCAACCACAAGGTCTACTGCCCCAGTACTCGCAAGTTCTTTTTTCAGAAGACTAAACTCCTAAATATCCTCATGCGCCCTCCTGATTCTGCTCACCATCGTCACGTCTCTTCCAAATCTTTAAAGGAAAAAAAAAAACGAAAAACTTTTTTTTAAGATGCATTCAGTATGTTTATAAACAAAGCAAAACTTGTTTGTTTAATGAAAACATGGTCAGACTTTTTCACACCATCTCATGAAGTACTGTACTATTTGGAAAATGTTTAATAAACTTGTTATTTAAAGGGGGGGGGGGGGGGGGGGGGACAAAAACAGTTGATTTAAAAACTGGAGAGTACAAAATCTTGTGCAGTTATGCATGGTAGCCAATCAGCTTCTAACTTCAGCTTGTTTAATTAACCACTTGCCTACCGGACACTTTTACCCCCTTCCTGCCCAGGCCAAATTTTTCAGCGCAATTGCACTTTGAATGAATTGCACAATTATGCAACACTGTGCCCAAACTAAATTTTTATCTTTTTTTTGAGACAAAGACATAGAGCTTTCTTTTGGTGGTATTTAATCACCACTGGGGTTTTTATTTTTTGCTAAACAAACAAAAAAAAAAAAGACCAAAAAAAAAAAAGTTTCTTAGTTTCTGTTATCTATCTATCCAGTCGTATCCGACCCTTGGTGATTGCATGGACCGTCACTCGTAAGTGACTTTTTCCATGAATTCTCTTAGCAATTATTTTACAGGGTAGGTTGCCAGTTCTTTCCCCAACCCCTACCATGCAGGAGATCCCACATGGCCAGGGATGAAACTAGGACAATTTAGACAGGAACCAATTAACCTACCAGCATGTCTTTGGAGTGTAAGAGGAAACCGGAGTACCAGGAGGAAACCCATGCAAGCACAGGAAGAACATGCAAACTCCATGCAGGAGGCGCCATGGTTGGGAATTGAACCCATGATCCATTTACTGCACGGCAGATGTGCTAACCACTAAGCCACTGTGCTGCCCATAGTTTCTGTTATAATGTTTTGTAAATAAGCACATTTTTCTCCTTTGCTAATGAGGCTGCACTGATGAGACTGCAGACAGGCGGCACTGATATCCAGCACTGATGGGAACTATTAGTCGCACTGCTGGGGCTACACTGATCATCAGGGCACCGATGACCAGTGCCCTGATGAGCAGTGTAGATGTCCCCTCTGAGAAATGCCACTTACCGCCACGCTGTCAGCATGAGGACAAGGCTGCTGATAACTGGTATTTCCTATTTACACTGATCAGCTGTGATTGGACACAGCTGAACACATGGTAAAAGGCGGCTCTGATTGGCCTTTTACCTGAACATGTGATGAGCTGTGGAAGGACACAGCGATCACAGCTCGAGCACAGCGTGCGCCCCAGGGGTTGCGGGGGATTTTGTGGTTCTGGGGAGGACGTCCATGGACGCCCTCCCAGAACTAGCCAACCGCACTGGAGCAGTCTTTTATATAGCCCGGACGGGAACTGGTTAAGCTTTGACAAAAACCTGGAATCGGATTGGTTTCTCTGCAGAGCCGCACCAGATTTTGCAATCTCCAGTTTTATTAATGAAAACCCCATAAGGTTTAACCTGTCTGCAAAAACATAAATTCCACACCTATGTAATACTTTTCAAGAACAAACTGAGATGAAAATAATCATGGGATAGAATGAACACATGTATAACAACTCATGTCACAGCAGCAAGAAACTGAATTCTTGCATCGACCAGTGTAGAACATCATCTGATCAGTTGGTATTTGCAACAAGACAATAGAAGGCTGTACAATAAAACTGATATAAGTCTAGAAACATCTGATCTGTTGCAAGTTCGCCTAACCCGAGTAAATAGGAATACACACTTCATAAAAGGAACACAGTCTTGGAAACCAGCATAAAATTCCTAGACCGCTTCAGTGAGAGGCTTTGCACAATTATTAACCTCTCATTCACAGTGCTGCTTAAAACCTTCAGAAATAAAATTTCCAAAGTAAACTGAAGTACTAAGCCTTCAAAAACCATTCTCATTCTAAAGACATTCCTCACTCATGGAATAAGCTGTTCAGAAGTCTTTCACAATGTTAAGTGTGTATATCAGTGGATGCTTGGAATGATCTGTATGCAGTGTGCGATAGTAAGGATATACACTGAAGAGACAGATGACAATACTGCAGAATATACCTGAATATAGGCTTCTGAGAGGGTGATCATCTGGGGTAAAATGTCCGTGACTTGCAGGTCTTGCAGCTCATACCATTTTCCAGTGCCCTGTACATAGAAACAAAAATGATGGGAACTGTCACATAGCACACAAATCTTTTCCAGCATCATATATAGGTTATTACGACAGATATATGACCCATTCCAAAAAAGACACCAAAGAGCTATGTGACATGTATCACTCCTGTCAGTATCACCACACAAGTTCTAGAATGGCAACCTCTGGATGCTGTAAAAGGAGTTTATTTCCATGCACAAATCAAGATTCAGGCCTTCTGGTCAATAGTTTTGACACTGTCAAAGGAGAATCTCACTCCTGGTTGAGGTAAGGTTGAGGTGGTGAAGTTTGCACCTGGCTGAGGTGCAAATTACCTGACAAAATTGTCTGATCAAACTCTGAATCTGAGAATGGACTGGATGAGCTCCATCAGAGCTTCTTAAAAAGCTAAGGACCACAATACGTTTTCATGAATAGTTCTCTGGATGCCTTTTTGATCTTCCTTTTTCCGGCCCTGCCCCCTTCCCATTTGTGCTCTTCCCCCAGTTTCTGTTATTTTGTTGGGATTTCCTACACTTTTATTTATCCTGTAAAATATAACATCCAATAGGTTGCATGGTTCGGCTACAATTTCACAACATTTACAATTACATTTACAATTTAACAACATTTCAGCTTTCTCTGGTCTTAACTGGTTTCCGTCCGGCCTACTATAGAAAGACAGGACCTCTCTTGTTCTGGGAGGATGTCATATGAGGTCTTCCCATTCTTGCTGTGAATGCATGCCCCCAGGACACAGCTCATCATTGGTCAAGGTAAAGAGCCAATAACGTTGGCTCTTTACCATGTGGTCAGCTGTGTCTAGTCGCAGCTGATCACATGTAAACAAATGACGATCATCGGCATTTCCTTTCTTCAGAGATCACTGCCCGAGGAAAGGAAAGCCAATGAACCGACTTTCCTGTGACAGCACACACTTGCACTGATAATCAGTGCAACCCCATCAGCATACATTAGTGAACAAGAAGAATTTCTTATTTGCAAAATTTTATAACAGAAACAAAGAAAAAGTTGTTTTTTTTTTGCAAAATTTTCCGTCTTTATTCGTTTGTTTAGCAAAAAATAATGGTGATTAAATACTACCAAAAGAGAGTTCTGTCTGTCAAAAAAAAATGATAAAAATGTAGTTTGGGTACACTGTTGCATTACCACGCAATTGTCATTGAAAGTGCGACAGCACTAAAAGCTGAAAATTCGCCTGGGCAAGAAGGGGGTGAAAGTGCCCTGTAATGAAGTGGTTAAATATCCAACTATTGGATAATAGCTACTAGGGATGCACAAATATACCGGTGTCTGAAACCAGCCAAAAATAGTGTTAATCGGCATTTTGCCGATAATGGCCGCCGAAAGCAAGCGAGTTTACGTTTAGGGTGCGTTTTTCATAGGCCATGTGACGCATCACAAAGCAACACGTGAATGTTTTGGGAGTTTTTTGGCCAAATTGTTGCTGGGCAGATTAATAATGCAAAATGCATCAAAAACGCAACACATGTGCGTTTTCTATGCATTTCAGGCCTGGTTCACACCAATGCAGTTTGCGTTTTGTCTGTTGTGCAGTTCTTTTTTGCCTTTAATTTTTTTTGGCCAACTTGTTACTGGGCAGATTAAAAATGCATAACGCATCAAAAATACAGCAAATGCATGAAAACATGAAAAAAAAATGCACTACATGCAATTTCTGCAGGGTCCCATTGAAGTCTATTAAACCAAAAATGCAACGTTTTGCATTTAAAAAAGTCCCTGACCATTTCCAAAACCGCTGCCGCTCAAAAAAAAGCATAGATGTCAAAATGGAATGTACTGCGTTTCTGCAAAAAGCCCTAAAAAACGCATTGGTGTGAACCAGGCCTCAATGGGAAGGTGCGTTTTTTTTTAGCTTGCCAAATATGCACCAAAAATGCAGCAAGCAGGATTTTTAACACCGCAAGGGAAGCACAACGGACCAGTGTGAAGACATACATTGAATTTAAAATTATGCATTTTTCTTGAGCTGCAAAAACTGCTCAGTATGAAAGCAGCCTTAATGGCTGAAAAAAAAAATTCAGATTCATTTAAAAAGTCAAATATTATATGACCAAATGCATCCTGAATTTTCAGTTTCGGTCCAAGAATTTTAATTTCGGTGCACCACAAATCTCTACTCTGGACTGTGGAATAGATAACCCTTTTTATACGTGTTGTACTATGCTCTGGCATAATAATTTCACTGCCACTGCTTTTTTGCGGATTTCCTAGAATTAAAAAAAAAAAAAAAAGTTCTGATACCCTGAAACATTTACATGATCCATGACTCCTATTCAAACTTTTTATATAAAAGCCCACCTAACAAAACTGATACAACATTGTGTGTAACAGCCTTTTAACCACTTCCTGTCCGGACACTTTCACCCACTTCCTGTCCAGGCCAATTTTCAGCTTTTAGCACTATCACACTTTGAATGACAAATTGCACGGTCATGCAACACTGTACCCATATGAATTTTTTAGCATCTTTTTGAGACAGATAAAGCTTTATTTCGGTGGTATTTATTCACCACTGGGACTTTTATTTTTTTTTGCTATGCAAATGAAAAAGTCCAAAAATTTTGAAAAAAAGTGTTTTTCTTATAAAATTTTGCAAATAGTATTTCATCATAAATCTTGGCCAAAATTTATTCCGTTATCTTTTTAGTAAAAAAAAAAAAATAATAACCCAAAATTAGTTTATAACCAAAAATTATAATTTTTAAACTTTTTTTTTTACTTTTTATTTTATTTTTTTACATACTGTCACCCTAGCAGTACAGTGTCACCATGGTGACACTGTACTACTTGTGGGGGGGGGTGATGAAGAATTTTTTTTCCACGGATTGCTTTTACACCCATAAAGGCTGTAAAAGCAATCATTTCTCCTTCTCTCTAGCTGCATTCTTGCAGCCATTGAGAACTACTGTGTGAGCTGTGATTGGTCACAGCTTGTCACATGGTACAAGGCTGTTGTGAATAGCCTTATATCATGTGACCTCTGTGATCATTCACAGATTTCACACGTAGTAAGCAATGATGTCACAAGTGACATCTTGCTTACTACTCTGCATGTGATCACTGATTGGCCAATGAGTGATCACATGATCGGACCTCGCACAGAGGTCCCGTCCGACGATCAGTGTTTCACTGTGTCCGGAGGACACAGCGGGCACCAGATCGCGGTGCTGTGCGCTCCCAGGGAGCGCGCACAGCTAGAAAATGCGGGTGCCGTTTATGAACGGCAACCCGCCCCTGGAGTGCCACCGTCCTGCCGTTTATAAACAGCAGGCGGAAGGCAAGTGGTTAAAATATACAGGATACCAGATATTAACCACACATCTTCATAAACCCATATCTAGTACTTCTGTGCACCAGTTTCCCTACTTTTTTGTCCTTCCATAGAATCTAGCTCCAAGTCTAGTTACTTTGTGCACATCAACAGAAAATGATTTTGTATTAGGATTACTTATGGCCAAGCCAAGATTACACCTATTCCTCATAAGAGGATGCAGTTCAATTCCTTGAAAGTACATATGTAGATAGAAATAAATTGATAGACAAACAGATGTAAAACAAGCTAAACACTCACATGGTGAAGAACATGGATACGATATGAGCCTTCGCTGGGTTTCCCGTCATGCACTATGTTTGCAATAAGATCATAAGTCGTGTACTTGTGTGTAGTCTGGCATTCCTCTGCCAAGTACTCCCGCAGATCTACATTTCTGTGTTGGCATTAAGGGAAAAAAAAAAAAAAAGGGAACATGGTTTTACGAAATGATTACCACTGCCACGCTCTTTGCACAGTTCTAAGAGCAGTATGATTCTTTTGTTGCACGGGGGGGGAGGATGCCTTCTACATGTGCGCTAACATGTTACTAAAAGGTAAACTGAAATACAATTGATGTCAGTTATTTGTGACTTTACTTACGTGATAGGGAAATTCACAATAGTTGGGTTCTTCTCAACAAAAAAGTTGTTCTTTGTAAAGCGCTTAATGCAAAATATCAAATATGGTGGAAGCTTGGTCAGTTGAAATCGCTTTAAGAAGTTCTCTTTATAGGTCTTGTACTCCTGTATAAAAAGGTCATTCACTGTTAGTTTCCACAACAGTGAACAGAAAAGAAAATGCACCTTCTAGAAATACTAATAATATGAACTGAAAAAAAGGTAGGAATGTGAAGTAAGCACAGCCAAAGAGCTTGTATTTATAACGTGTGAAAAATATGCAATTACCAGACTTGCTACATGACTGCCATAGTTATTTTCCACTTGGCAGCATTCTGCACTTCATATACTACAACATAAAATGAATGATCTCCCTGAATATTTTTCCTAAGGCAGATACGTCTTACAACATTTGTGTCAATTATATAAATTCACAGATCTGCAATACAGCAAAGCAAGGATATTTTCCCCCCTAGTGGTAGCCCTGCAGTTACTTATATTTTGGAGTATGTGAAAATTCTTTTCTTGAAATACATCACAAGATACAGAGGAGTTATTCATGACTACTGGAGTTATGCTGCCACCCTCAGGTGAATGGACATTGGCCAAAAAAAAAAAAAGGATTACCTTGCCAATGCATAACTCCTCCCACCTCAGCCTCAGTTTTGTAGCAAGCAATAATGAATACCAAAAATAGGGATCTGTGTCATGTGATATACTTTAAGAAAAGGGTTTTACAGGTAAACCAAAAATCTTAATTTGTACATCATTGGACACAAAGGAGTTAATAATCATGATTACTTGGGATGTCCCATAGCAGTGATCATGGAGGAGAGGGCAACACAGCACAAGGTTAACAAAATTCCCAAAACAGGGGGAAAACCCCCATTACAAAATCACCTTCCAAGAACACTAGCTGAATTGCCCAAATTTCCTCTTCCCTGATCAGAGTTGTTCTCCAGGACATCTTCCAAGCCTGAAGAGCTGGCATCTATTGTCAAGACCTTGAATCACTAAGAATCCACCATTCCATAGAAAACTTGATCTTGGAAGTCAGATACAATGGCAGGATTGGAGGACTCCTGATGTTTGTACCATACCAGCAATTTTGTGTTGCAGAACTGGGCACAAAAGACCGTATCGAAAGGTGGCTAGCATCTTCCCAAAAATTTTCATATCAAGGAATTTAGCAAAAAAGGCCAGAGATGACACTACTCAGTCCATGCTGTGTACTGTCTTCCACAACAGCATTTCTGGCAGATTAATGGGTATTTTTCTGTACTTGCAGGGTCTGTAAGGAATAATGCATAAATGTGCATGTCATGCAGAAATGTACTTTATGTTGACTTGACATATGCTCTAAAGCGGAAATAAACCCTCCTCTATTATCGAAGACTTCAAGAGAGTGGGAGTTCGGTTAAAGGCACAAGCATCATTCCCGGCATAGCTTGAATGCAACTGTTTTGGGAAACCACGTCCCACAGTAACAAACAGCCAGCTCGCACTTTTATTGCAGAGAGACATGCAATGTCTCTTCTGCAATAAAATGCCCTACCTCCCTGCTGGCTGTCTTCTCTGCATATGGCCTCTTGCCCATGCACAGGAGTGACGTCATCCTTCCTGACCAATGAAGATTGCAAAGACCAGCACACAGGAGAAAATGCTGGCACCAGCAACGGACTGTTGGAAAGAGTATTAACCCCTATAGTTCTGCTTTAAATCAATGGATTTAGTTCAGCTTTAAGTTTAATATACATGTTTTACCAATTTAGACTTCAAGTGGAACTGTAAAACTAAAATACACAGTCAGTATAACATAGGATTATTTACATGCAGTGTGTTACTCTGGCCACAAGTCTTCCCCAAAAAGAGGCTATTAGTGATTGGCCTTGGTGTGAACTGTCAGGAACGCATGCCCACTACCTAGACTTTGAAAAGTGGGGAATGAAGCACTGGGGCCAGAATATCTTCCTGAGCTCAGAGCCTTTCCTCAAACGAGGGACAGAGAAGCAAGCATGAGAATGTAAACAATTCTTGTTCCTGTCCCCTGACATGGGGCTTATGTGTTTGGATACAAATGTCAAATGCTACCAAAAACGTAATATTGTAACACAGGTTTATGATCATTTACCTTTTCAGTGATGCCGTTGAACTTGGCAAGAATACTGAAGAGAGGCACCTGTGGGATGATCAGCTGTTCTTTCTCATCTTTGTAAAGAGGAGCAGTGGGGAGGTCCAGAGTGAGGTACATGAAAGGAGACTCCAGCATGGTTTCCAGGTACTCCTCATTCTGCAGGAGCTGCTCTTTCTCCTCTGCTGGCTGCAGGCACAATGACACAATGTATAAGCTGAGTATTTTGACCCCCCAGATAAACCATGACACATCTCAAAATGGAAGCAGTTAGCAAAACCATTTTGAAATGGGACTGTTAAAAGGCGCAGATATCTGTACACAAATTCTGAAAATTATACAAATTTTTATCCAAATCACATATCCAAATCAAAAAAGCCTATGAGAAAAAAAATAAATAAATAAATAAATAAAAAAAAAAAAAAAAAAAAAAAAAAAAAAAAAAAAAAAGGTACCAGGGGCATCTCATGGGGCCCCCTACTGACCCTGAGCCCTCGGGCAGTGCCCGAGTTTCCAAATGGTCAGTCCACCCCTGGGATTCTTCAAACAGTAATCTAGAACCCAGGTTTAATCCAAAAGGTGGTGTGTGTGTGTGTGTGTGTACGTGTGTGTGTTCGAGGGTGTTCGGGGTTGGGGAATATTTTCAGACTGCAACACAATCTTCAAATAAATTTGTTGTTCCAAAAAAATTCAGCCAATGATATGCTCCCAGGGAAATATCAGGAATATCTTGAAAAACATGAGAAACTTGCAGTCAAATTGCATCGTGATCAATATTATACAGTGAGGAACAGAAGTATTTGAACATCCTGCGATTTTGCAAGTTCCCCCACTTAGAAATTATGGAGGGGTCTGAAATTCACATTGTAGGTGCATTCCCACTCTGAGAGACAGAATTAAAAAAAAATTCAGGAAATCACATTGTATGATTTGTAAAGAATATATTTGTCTTGCACTGCTGAACATACCGTATTTTACGGCGTATAAGACGACTTTTTGACCCTTGAAAATCTTCTCAAAAGTCGGGGGTCGTCTTATACGCCGCTATACGCCAGGGCGGCACTTTTTAGGGGGGCAGCGCGGTGCCACCGCCCCCCCCCTTCCGACGGAAGGGACACTAAGTACAGGGGTGGGCAGAGGGCTGCTGTCTCTTACCAGGCTCCTACAACGATCCATCCAGGAAGCGCTGCTGATTCAGTCACTCCGGCCACTCGCTCACTCCTGCTGCTCGGCTCCGCCTCCTCACTGGTGATTGGCCGCCAGAACTGTAGCTCAGGAAAGGCACACAGGCGGCCAATCACGGGCAAGGAGGCGGAGCCGAGCGGACCCCACAAAAATCGAGCAAGGGAGCAGTGAGGGAGCAGCCGGTAAGTGTGCAGTGCAGAGGTGCTGCTGCAACCACATATGCTGGCTGCAGCAGCACTATACTGGAACAGGGGTCAGCAAGTGTCATTGGTTTCAGTGGGAGGAATAGTGTCCCATCATTGGTGTCACTAACACCAATGATGGGGCACTATTCCTCCCACTGACACCAACGATCGGGCACTATTCCTCACACACTGACACCAACAATGGGGCACTATTCCTCCCACTGACACCAACGATGGGGCACTATTCCTCTCCCCACTGACGGGGTACTATTCCTCCTCCCACTGACACCAATGTTGGGGCACTATTCCTCCCACTGACACCAACGATGGGGCACTATTCCTCCCCACTGTACTATTCCTCCCCCATGACACCAATGTTGGGACACATGATTCTTCCCACTGACACCAATGATGGGGCACATGATTCTTCCCACTGACACCAATGATGGGGCACATGATTCTTCCCACTGACACCGATGATGGGGTGCTATTCCTCCCACTGACACCAATGATGGGGCAAGATTCGTTGCTCTGACACCAATGATGGGGCACGATTCCTCCCACTGACACCAATGATGGGGCGCTATTCCTCCCACTGACACCAATGATGGGGCACGATTCCTGGGGCACGCTCTGACACCAATGATGGGGCACTATTCCTCCCACTGACACTAATGATGGGACACTATTCCTCACACTGACACTAATGATGGGGCACCATCATTGGTGTCAATGGGAGGAATAGTGCCTCATCATTGGTGTCAGTGCGAGGAATCGTGCCCCATCATTGGTGTCAGAGCGAGGAATCGTGCCCCATCATTGGTGTCAGAGCGAGGAATCGTGCCCCATCATTGGAATACCATACCATATTGAAATCAAATCTGATGTTTTTTTTAATTTTTATTTGCTGTGCGTTGGAAGAGGGGTAGTCTTATACGGCGAGTATAGCCCATACCCTATATATTAACAGGAAAAGTAGGGGGTCGTCTTATACGCCGGAAAATACGGTAAGTATTTGAACACCTGAGAAAATCCGTGTTAATATTTGGTACAGAAGCCTTTGTTTGCAATTACAGAGGTCAAACGTTTCCTGTAGTTCTTGACCAGGTTTGCACACACTGCAACAGGGATTTTGGCCCACTCCTCCACACAGATCTCCTCTAGATCTGTCAGGTTTCGGGGCTGTCGCTGAGCAACACAGAGTTTCAGCTCCCTCCAAAGATGTTCTATTGGATTTAGGTCTGGAGACTAGCTAGGCCACTCCAGAACCTTGATATGCTTCTTACGGAGCCACTCCTTGGTTAACCTGGCTGTGTGCTTCGGGTCGTTGTCATGTTGGAAGACCCAGCCACGACCCATCTTCAATGCTCTGACTGAGGGAAGGAGATTGTTGCTCAAAATCTCACAATAAATGGCCCCATTCATCCTCTCCTTAATACAGTGCAGTCGTCCTGTCCCCTTCTCAGAAAAGCACCCCTAAAGCATGGTGTTACCACCCCCATGCTTCACAGTAGGGATGGTGTTCTTGGGATGCAACTCATCCTTATTTTTACTCCAAACACGACAAGTGAAGTTTAGACCAAAAAGTTCTACTTTGGTCTCATCTGACCACATGACTTTCTCCCATGCTGCCTCTGGATCATCCAGATGGTCATTGGCAAACTTCAGACGGGCCTAGACATGTGATGACTTGAGCAGGGGAACCTTCCTTGCAATGCATGATTTGAAACCATGACGGCGTAGTGTTCTACCGACAGTGACCTTTGAAACTGTGGTCCCAGCTCTCTTCATGTCATTGACCAGCTCCTCCCTTGTAGTTCTGGGCTGATTCCTCACCTTTCTTATCAGTGATACCCCACGAGGTGAGATCTTGCATGGAGCCCCAGTCCGAGGGAGACGGACAGTCGTCTTTAGCCTCTACCATTTTTTAACAATTGCTCCAACAGTTGATCTATTTTCACCAAGCTGCTTGGCAATTGCCCCGTAGCCCTTTCCAGCCTTGTGGAGGTCCACAATTTTGTCTCTGGTGTCTTTTGACAGCTCTTTCGTCTTGCCCATGGTGGTAGTTGGCGTCTGACTGTGGGGTGGACAGGTGTCTTTAAAGAGCTCAGACAGGTGCTACAAAGTTAGATTAATGAGTGGAGTAGAGGTGGACTTTAAAGGCACAGTAACAGGTCTTTGAGAGCCAGAATTCTTGCTATTTCTTAGGTGTTCAAATACTTATGTTCAGCAGTGCAAGACAAATAAATTCTTTAAAAATCATACAATGTGATTTCCTGAATTTTTTTTTTTAAATTCTGTCTCTCAGAGTGGGAATGCACCTACAATGTGAATTTCAGACCCCTCCATGATTTCTAAGTGGGAGAACTTCGCAGGGTGTTCAAATATTTCTGTTCCTCACTGTACCTGTTCTCTTTGCTTTTATGTAATTTTAATAAGATTTGTTGATTAAAATTTGTATATGATTTTTACGACAATAGTCAGCACAACCATTAACCCCATCATAACACTCAATCAGAGAACACTTGGTTACATCAGTCCCTGTTCCTAAAAAACTTCCAATGTAACGTCCCTACCACAGACACACAATACACATCGGAACAGGAGAGAGGGAGGAAAAAAAAACAAAGACAAATATAACAACATTTCCATAATGCAATACCAGCCAACACTTTTTATAGAGCTGGCTTCATTATACCAAAAAAAAAAAAAAAAAAAGGGAGGGGTTTGGCCTTAACAGACCTCTCAAGAGAAGCTAGCAATGGAACCGACAAAACACCTGGCTGTCATGATGAGCCTCTTGCTTTTGCCAACAACCAGTCTAGATAAAACAAAATCAACATTCTCCCAATAACAGAGATCCTAAGAAAATTCTTCTGTACTTAACCACTTCAATACCGAGCCTTTTTTAACCCCCTTCCTGCCCAGGCCAATTTTCAGCTTTTGATGCTGTCACATTTTGAATGATAATTGCACGGTCGTGCAAACTAAATTTTTAGCATTTTTGAGACACATACAGCTTTCTGTTGTTGGTAGTTGGTATTTAATCAACACAAGGTTTTTTATTATTTACTAAACAAATGAAATAAGACCAAAACATTTTTTGGGTAAAAAACAAAACCAGAAAAAAAACCAAAAAAAAAAACAAACCCACACCTTTTTCTTCATTTCAGTTATACAATTTTGCAAATAAGTAATTTTTCTTCTTCACTGATGTGCGCTGATGAGGCTGCACTGAGAGGAGGCACTGATAATCAAGTGCCCTGGTTATTAGTGTAAATGTCCCTGTCACAGTAAAGCCGGTTATTGGCTTTCCTTTGTTTAGACAGTGACAGTGCCGAGGAAAGGAAAAGCTTATAAACAGAATTTATTTACATGTGATCAGTTGTGATTGGACACAACTTATCACATGGTAAATAGCCAACGTCACTAGCTCTTTACCCTGATTGGTGATGCATTGTGTCCCAGGGACCCAGCGCACCACTGACCACCGCGCTGCGCGGCAAGCATGGGAGGACATCATATGATGTCCTCCCATAAGAAGAGAGGTCCTGCTCGGTCTAATGTACAATGACGAGCGGGAACCAGTGCGGGGATCCTTTGCTGTCCCCAGGGTCACCAGAACCAGTGTCCTCATTGGAAGATTTCCCCCTTCTTATTGTTCTTGGAACAACCCAAAATTTGGGATTTCCCTTTACTTTCACCTTTGATAATATTGGTAGACATGACAAATACACAGGGATGTTTAATTCCTATCGCCCGACCCTGGGACATGCAGTTTTGAGCACCGAGCAAGAAGTTTTGTTCTACACTTAGCTCTGCTGCAGGCTACTCCGGCGCTGGCAGAAGTTCACTTGTAGACAGAGAAGCCTGGCTTCTAGTCTGGTAGCACAAAACCCTCACTGCTTTGCACATGACAACAGAGGAGAGGGCGGGGGAGTGGTGTTTCCTTGAGGGCTGCTGTTCTGAGCGAGAACATGGACTCCTGTCTCCTAGCAAACATCACTTTTTATCTCTTAATGTATCGTATTACAGCCTGTCCTATCTCTGCACTCTACTGCAGCTGTTATACCTCTGCAATGCAAAGCCAGCACAGAGTTTTGCCTCTCTTTCCACAAGAAGTCCATACATACTTTCCTGACATCCTATTGGCTGTCAGTCCCGGGACACTGAGTCCCCTCCAGTCTGTGTATCATACGGCTCAGAGCTCTGCTCCTCTGCTGTTCCAGGAATGGGTGTGCTGCTGTACCCCACCTGTAATGGACATCTCTTGGAATCTTCCTGACCAAGTGCACTGTGGTATGTGACACTCAGCATGTGGAGTAGTCACACTACACTCAGACAGAGCAGCACCCCCCACCCCATTTATCCCCAATGTTCCTCCTCTCCCTTCACTGATCCCCAATGTCCCCCCTATCCCCCCCATTTATCCCCAATGTCCCCCTCTCCCCCCACCTATTCCCAAGGTTTCTCCTCTCCCTCCACTAATCCCCAATGTCCCCCCTTTCTCCCACATTATAAATTAGCACATTGACCCCCCCCTAAATGGGGACATTTAGCACCAATGCTCCATTAACTTCGCACCCATGTCATCCCCTATCCCCCTCTTAGCAGTAATGCCTTCTCTCCCCACTTAACATTGCACTCCTACTGTAATTGTAGCTTCTCTTCTGCAGCAGCCCCTCTCTCAGATACTCTGTAGGTGGGGGAGAGAAGATTTGGTGGTGGGAGGAGGACTGTGTACTAGAAGGGGGTTTAAACTGGCCTGTGAGATATGCATTCCTGAGCGCTGCACTCTGTACGCAACTCACTCCTGAACTCTGCACTCCGTACATAGCACATTCATGAACTCTGCACTCTCTGCATAGCGCGTTCCTGAACTTTGCAGTCTGTACGCAGTGCACTCCTGAGCTCTTCACTCTGCATGCAGTGCACTCCTGAACTCTGCCCTGTGCAGTATGCATTACTGGTATAGAACAATGCTCCATTAAGACCCTCCCACTGTTAGGCAGTGGTGTGGTGGGGGGCGTAGTTGCATTCCTGCACCTATTCTCTGAGAAAAAAAAAAAAAAAGCCCTGGCGGGCTGTCCTTTCCCATCAGGACACCCAATCAACCAGCCAGCGCTTCCGCTGGCTGATCATAGAGGTAGGCAAAGACTGGAACCGCTCTGTCCGCCTCTATGAAATAGGAAACAGGAAGTGATGAGCATATATCCCCACCGGTTTCCTGGGCACCATTTTTAAAAAGAAAGCATTTGATCACACCAATCGTGGTGTCATCAAATACTCTTAAAAGGGGAGAGGAGAAATCTGAGGTCTTATTGACCCCACATCTCTACATAAAGAGTACCTGTCACTGCCTATTGCTGTGTCACAAGAGATGTTTAAAAGAAAATATATAAATGGAAATTTTCTAGCAAAAACTAAAAAAACATTAAAAAGTTTAAGTCGCCATAAAGCCCCTTTCGTTGTTAAAAGCCCCAGACATTCCTAAAAGCACCTCTGCCTAATAAGAAACATCAAGCCTTCCTATTTTCCATCCTGGGAAAAAACGTTTTTTTTTTTTTAATCAGGAAAAGTAGATCGTCATGAGGGATAAGTAGACCCCAACCCAATCCCAACCCCGATTTAATCCCTTGGACAAGTAGTTTTTTTAAAAACATTTCCACACCCCTGAATATAGAGGGTCAATCTCCCCAACGGTGGCACAGACAGCAATAAAAACCTGACAGGGGTTCTTAGCTCTCTCCATGCAATCCAAAACTAAAAAGAAAAAAAAAAAAAAGTTTTTAGTTATATTTCAGCTTTATCTTTTGAAACCATCCTTGGTAACCTGTTAAACTTAATACACAGAAATCTGTTTGCCTATACAAAATTCTGTAGTTTCAGCTTACCAGATCAGGATGGGGCAACTTCTTGGTGAAAATCCTCATCTGTCCTTGAAACACCTCTGTTACAGTTGCTGAAAGACACGGGGACATCCAGCTTAAAATGGCCAAACATCTTCTAAAAATTACATTTTAATGCAACCAGACAGTAGATGGAAACATTTTCCCCTAATAACTAATATCTTGAAAAATAAAAGAATATGAAGAAAGAAAAAAAAAAAAAAAAATTTGAATTTGGGAGGATAAAACTACAACTTCAAAAGAAACTCTAAAACTAGACATCCACGGTGCGTTGTTTCTCTATACTTGTTTTGCTGCCAAGAAAAAGAATTTATTTTTGCGTTTACCATCAGTGACTATATGAACCATATCCATCAACTGGCCAAGTTTGGCAGTTGTCCAAATTATACAACTGTGTCAACACTATAAAGATTAATGAAAAATGTTTCACTTTGAAAAAAACTGTCAGATCTGGATCCCATGAATTTTCATCAAATCTCAGCATCATTCTATTTAGCTTAGTTGCTACTATTTAAAGAAACCAAGTCTGGACCAGCTATATCTTTATGCGTGCAATACATATGATAAATGATCTTGTTATCTTTAATGGCAATGTACATAGTTACTTGGTGCTCATGTCGTATCTTTTGCAATATTATATGACTACTCAAGTGCTTTGCAGTGTGACCCATTAATTATTGTATAATTCCAAAAGTTGGGACACTGCAAAATCTATATAAACATAATGCAATGGTTTTTAAATCTCATAAACCCATATTTTATTCACAACAGAAAATAGAAAACATATCAAATGTCTGAATTGACAAAATGTACCAATTTAAAAAAAAAAAAAAAAAAAAAAAAAAAAAAAGGGCAAGTTTGAAATTGATGGTAGCTACACGTCTCAAAGAAGTTGGGAAAGGGCCATGTTTACCACGGTGTAGCATCCCTCTCTTTTTTTAACAACACTCTGTAAAAGTCTGGGAACTGAGAAGACCAGTTGCTGGAGTTTTGGGAGAGGAATGTTGTCCCATTCTTGCCGAATATAAGATTATAACTGCTCAATAGTCCTCTGTCTTCTTTGTCATATTTTTTGTTTCAAGATGTGTCAAACATTTTCAATTGGTGAAAGGTCTGGACTGCAGATAGGCCAGTTAAGCACCCAGATTCTTCTACTACAAAGCAATGCTCTGTTAGATGCAGTATGTGGTTAACATTGTCATGCTGAAATATGCAAGGCCTTCCCTGAAAAAGACAGCGTCTGGATGGGAGCATATGCTGCTCTAAAACCTGGATATATTTTATGTTACAAAGCTGGTTAGATTGGTAAAAAAGACAGATGTCCAATATGTTTGAGTTGACTCAGGTAGAAGAACCCTATATATCTATCTATAATTCCAGCTGAGCCAGAGAAAGCCAAAAAAACAATCTTTTAAACCCCATGCAGTATCACCCTAGTAAGAAAACAATTCCCAATTCTAAAAAGGTAACTAGATAAATCCCTGGAACAACTTAGGGCACTATTAAAGCCCAACTTCAAGAATTACAAAAAAAAAAAAAAAAAAAAACCTACCCTTGCAGTGGGCTAACACCACTCACCCCTCTGAAATGCAAGGGTCAATTGCTAATTAACTCTAGGGAATTAGGAATAAGGTGTAATGCTTACCTTATTCGTCGCTCCTACTTGTGATTCCTTTTCATACTCACGTACAATGCAGGTCTATTGTCATTGTGGGACCAAAGCATCTTAGAGAAGAGGCTTTAGGGGACCGGTTGCACAGACAAAAGGAGCCTGGAGGAGTAAGGCAGATATTCCACCTTTTCTCCCATGCCATAGAGTTTTTTTTTAATTAAATAACTCTCCTGGGGTACAGAACCTTTTTAGGGTCATGAAACTGAGTATACTGCATCTATTAATTCTGATACTAAAGTTTTCTCTGTCATTTAAATGTAGTAAAATATTCAGACAACATATGTTAAAGGATAGGTTCACCTTTGGGAACATGCTCCACTCGTTTCAAGGGTGGAAAATGTAACATGTTCCCAATGCTGCAGCCGCTGCCCGATCCCCCTCCTTCCTGTGACAGCAGTCCGGGAAGAAGTTCCCCGTACAAACTGTCACTTTTGAAAAACAGTGCGGCAGCCCCACATGGCCATGTCATTTATTTACAGAGTTCTGTGAATAAACTACAAGTCCCAACAACCTTAACGGCTGTAGACTTGTAGTTCTCAATGAGCTGCCACGGCACTATGGAACACCATGGTAGTTCATTGAATCTTCCGGTCAGCATATCTGTTTGCCCGTACAGGCAAGCAGATATACTGACAGCTTTGCAGAAGACCTGCATGGCACCAGTGATCCGCTTTACAGGCTACTGCAACAAAAAATAAATGCACATTTTTTTCGCCTGCAAAAAAAATGTGCATTTATTATTTTTTGTCAAAAGGTGAACTGATTAACTTAGGTGAAGTGCAAATTTGTACTAAAGACCAGAGTATTCATAAGAAACGTGATGACTTACTTCTCTTCTTCTTGGTACCCCCAAGAGCAGAGCTCAAGGCATTTAAGAACCAGGAAAGAAAGTCCACACCGTCACCTGTAACAGCATGACGACACTTAATACACACAAAACACGGATCTTGGAAGAACAATGCCAGATACAGGTATAGAAGACAGTTATGATAGAAATGATATTTTTTGTGAGAGAAAAGAAAAAAAAAAAAAAAAAAATTATATATATATATATATCTCTATCTATCTATTTATCATTTTGAAACGATAGCTGTATAAATAATCTGGCATTAGCCAAATGTGTGCTGTTTTTCCAACAAAAAACAACACTTTACATTCACTAATGCTAGGGATGCACTGGGGAGGCCCGCAGACAGCACTTTCAGCCTCCCCGACGTGCTGCTTGTCAGTGTAGAATCTGAGTGGGAGTTCCTGCCTATATAGAGAAGGAATGACAACTTTAAAAGCAGGCTCCCTCAAATTCAGCCACTCGACACAAAATATTCAATTTTGAAGTAGCTGGCAAATGAGGCTGTAGACGCTGTGTTAGTTTGTTATTTACTTTCAACAAAACACCAAACAGCTTTGTCTACTTGCACAACTAACCTTAAAAAATTGCAGGTACAACAATATAAACGTTTGCACCAACACATTGGTCTCACCCTGCTTTGTTATTTGGAATTTCTTCTTGCTGCACAGAACTACAGCTTGCAGCATTTCATGGGGGGAAACGTGGGCTTTAAAATTTCTGGGGTTCCACAGCTTTCTCATTAGCTCTCCGAACCTTTGAACCAGCAAGAACATTATATCCCCCGGTGGGCGTTGGATGTCTTTATAATTTTCTTCTTCCAGGAAGTAGTTCCTCAATGGGGGCACATTGGATAATGCCTACAAAAACAAATATATATTCAGAGCCTTTTGGTTACCACAAAGACTTCAGTAGTATGCAGAGAACATGGAAGATCAAAATTCCCAGCTCATTATTGCTAAAATGTAGAGGGAGATGTAATGCTGTCCATACACTAAGCAATTTTCTTGCTTTCAAATCACTAATATTACATGGTAACCAAAAAATACAAAATTATAATGGAAAATGATTTGAGTAACACCAGATTGGTCCACTTTTTGCCAAATCTAGTTCATTTTTGCCACTGAAAAATAGGAAACAGCTGGGGTTAAAAGCCAATTTAAAAGCCACAAAACAAATGAGCATATAACTGTCAAAGAATGAACAAGGTAGAATCCCATAAAGAACATTCCTCAGAAAACTCTTACCTGCAGAACAGCATTAGCATAATCATTAGCTTTGATGTTATTGAGCCCCACAATGCCTGGCAGATAGGTGGTTCCATCATATGCTCTGGACAACTTGGCCTGTTTATCCAGATTACTGATTTGGGCTTTGGTAAATGTTGGCTTCAAAACATACTACAGGAAAAGAGAAATGTGAGGGATAAACAGGGTCATAGAGCAATAAAAGGCATAAAAATTGTATTTAAATAAATAGTGTACAATATGTGTAATGTAAAAGTTGGTATTTCCAGGGGTGCTCTGTAAAGTCAGCATACACCAGAGGATTTTCATACTGGCCCCTTACACCTTTTATTCTACAAAGAAAATTCCACTACAGTACTGCAATCAGAAATGTTACATTCCCTACTGATTACAAAGTTGTGGGTGACATCGCTGTTATCATACAGAGTGCAGTGGTCTTTAGATGCTGCCTCCATATGGGCATGGATTTTACTTTTAAGAAGAAGACAGGAGGCACCAATCTAAGTCCGCACTAACCAGCATGGAACGCACTGGCAGAAGTGATGTCACCAGAAGAGACGGAGGGCCTGTAGAAGGAGCTAGAGGCTCTGAGCGTGTAGCCTGTTTTTCTGTGTTCCTGACATTCCTTATCTCTGACCCTCCGTCTCTTCCGGTGACATCATTTCCGCCAGTGCGTTCCACACTGGTTAATGCGGACTCCCATAAATCAGGAAGATTGTCCCCTACTGCACCAATGGCTTTTTTACCATTCAGCCAACATTGATGGCAACAACAGTGGTATCTGCAGGATGAATAGGAGCAGCCATACCCCCATACACAGATGAGCTTGTTTGTTTATTTATTGTTCTTATGAGTGTTTTTAACCACGTCTTTACTGCCCTATAGCAGATATACTGCTACAGGGCGGCACAGGGAGTGCACAGCACAGCCATCCAGAGCAGTGTGATTACAGTAAAGCCCACACACACACACACCTCCCCCCCAGTAAAACACTCCCAGCACACAGTCAACCCTTTGACCACCCCTCATGTTAACCCCTTCCTGCCCAGTGCCATTAGTACAGTGTGTTTTTTTTTTTTCTTAGCACTGATCACTGTATTGGGGTCACTGGGGATGTCAGTGACACCAAGTTAGTTCCCCACAGTGCTAGAATGCCTGCCGCAGTCCCACTATAAGTCGCTGATCACCGCCATTACTAGTAAAAAAAAAATAATTCCAATATACCGTATTTTCCGGCGTATAAGACGACTGGGCGTATAAGACGACCCCCCTACTTTTCCTGTTAAAATATAGGCTTTGGGCTATACTCGCCGTATAAGACTACCCCCCTCTACCAACCAATCACGGCAAGCGATGTACCAGTATTTTCTGTGCACACTGCATACAAAGCCTGCTTGGATTGGGGGGGTCAGCTCTCCCTGCCTGCCCAGCCCTCCCTGTCTCCAAGATGATCTGAGAACTGCCACAGTTATTAATATATAATAATTAATGTTAATTACCGTATTTCCTGCAAGGTACTGCCTAGCTGACGCTTCTGCACATGTCTTCGGGCAGCAGTAGACGATCGCTGATCACCATTCCTCACAGAACTGCATGAGACGTCGGATGCAGCCGTTCAGTGCTCGATTGAGCTTGACTGAAACTGTGATATGCAGAGAAGGGATACACATCGGGTAGCGGCAAGAAGACGCTTCTGCACATGTCACAGTTTCAGTCAAGCTCAATCGAGCACTGAACGGCTGCATCCGACGTCTCATGCAGTTCTGCGAGGAATGGTGATCAGCGATCGTCTACTGCTGCCGAAGACATGCGCAGAAGCGTCAGCTCGGAAGTACAGGTAAGGTTTCAGCACAACACCCGGCGTATAAGACGACCCCCGACTTTGTAGAAGATTTCCAGGGGTTAAAAAGTCGTCTTATACGCCGGAAAATACGGTATATACCGCCATTTGTAAACGCTATAACTCTCATGTAAACCAATTAAATTACACGTATAGGGATTTTTTTTTTTTTTTTTTAGCAAGGACATATAGCAGAATACATTTTGACCTAAATTTATGTCAAAGTTAGATTTTTATGGGACAGGTTTAATAGCAAAAAGTCAAAAATATAGATTGTTTTTTCTCAAAATTGACAGTCTTTTTTTTCACAGCGCAAAAAATAAAAACCGCATAGGCGATCAAATACCACTGAAATAAAGCTCAATTTGTGGGAAAAAAAGTATAAAAATTTTATTTGGGTGCAGCATTGCCTGACCACGCAATTGTCAAAGTAACACAGCGCCATAACGCAAAAAATGGCCTGGTCGGGGGGGTTAATCCTCTGGAGAGCAAGTGGTTAATCCTACAAAATTAAACATAAGATTTACAACTGCACTTAGATTGGCACCTCCTGTCTTCTTCTTTCCTGTCTTTGCATACAGAGTTGGCTTTGCTCTATAGGACGGCTGCCGCTATTTACGCCATTTTACAATCAGTGTACCAGATACTTTTTATAGACTTTATTACAGCTCATGGACACTATATGAGATATGTGCTTATAATATTTATTCACCGTGCCTGTCCCAGCACAGTATTATATACCATGTGCTTTGCATATATTTGATATCTTGGTTATTATTATCTTCATCATCTGTATTATCATTTTTCAGAATAAGTTTACCTCTGTGTGCCAGAATTTCCTTCTTAATTGATTTTACTTTTGGTGCCATTTTATTCTTCTGTCCAGAATTTACCCGACATGATATATTCTTTGTAAATATAACCACAGTGAAGGCTACAATCGCAAATATCACCGCTGCTATATAAACCATATAAATGCTGCGCTACATTCAAAATTAAAGTGAATGTGGAATCCGATAATATAAATCAATATAGTGACGATATTATGTAAATAAATATATAAGTGCTTAATGATAACAAAAATTATCACATCAAACACCCCAAAAATTATAAAAACACAAACTTAAATCTATACGCATGTGCATAAATTACACATACATATAGTTATATCACACGTGCAAATGTGAAGTGAAATAATGGCTTATTAAACGCACAGAAAAACAAATCTATAAATGTTGAAGGTGAAAAAAAAAAAAAAAAAAAAAAAAAAAAAAAAAAAAATGTGAAGTGAAATAATTGCTTATTAAACGCACAGAAAGTCCAATTAAATGTTGAAGGTGAACAAAAATGATAACGGTGTTTCCAATAATACTGCAAAGTGACCACAGGTGAACCAAATCGTGCAGGTATCTGAGTGTAGATAGAGCTTGTGAATCCAACCACCTTCTGGATTAGCCTCTCACCTCATCCCTTCGACCCTTGCGGATCAAAGAGCAATAATGGATCCCTCTCACAGATCCTCCAGGTACCACAGCCTTCCAGAAACGCTTTTCAAATTTCAATAATCCCACTCAAGCTCTTCTCCAGGTATAGGTGAAACATCAATCCCTCAGAACAAAAAGAGGAATCATAGCAGCCAGTCCACATGAGACCCTCATGCTCTCAGATGAGGATAAATCTGTGTTGTTGGGTGTACAGCTGAATAACAGGTGTACCAAGATGGCCGCCACGCCGGAAATACGTCACCGCGCTTACGCCGACGCGTTACGTCACAATATCACGTGACTTCATCAGGGCCCTGATGAAGTCACGTGATATTGTGACGTAACGCGTCGGCGTAAGCGCGGTGACGTATTTCCGGCGTGGCGGCCATCTTGGTACACCTGTTATTCAGCTGTACACCCAACAACACAGATTTATCCTCATCTGAGAGCATGAGGGTCTCATGTGGACTGGCTGCTATGATTCCTCTTTTTGTTCTGAGGGATTGATGTTTCACCTATACCTGGAGAAGAGCTTGAGTGGGATTATTGAAATTTGAAAAGCGTTTCTGGAAGGCTGTGGTACCTGGAGGATCTGTGAGAGGGATCCATTATTGCTCTTTGATCCGCAAGGGTCGAAGGGATGAGGTGAGAGGCTAATCCAGAAGGTGGTTGGATTCACAAGCTCTATCTACACTCAGATACCTGCACGATTTGGTTCACCTGTGGTCACTTTGCAGTATTATTGGAAACACCGTTATCATTTTTGTTCACCTTCAACATTTAATTGGACTTTCTGTGCGTTTAATAAGCAATTATTTCACTTCACAGTTTTTTTTTTTTTTTTTTTCACCTTCAACATTTATAGATTTGTTTTTCTGTGCGTTTAATAAGCCATTATTTCACTTCACATTTGCACGTGTGATATAACTATATGTATGTGTAATTTATGCACATGCGTATAGATTTAAGTTTGTGTGTTTTTATAATTTTTTGGGGTGTTTGATGTGATAATTTTTGTTATCATTAAGCACTTATATATTTATTTACATAATATCGTCACTATATTGATTTATATTATCGGATTCCACATTCACTTTAATTTTGAATGTAGCGCAGCATTTATATGGTTTATATTCACTTGATCACTGGTATATGATTTAATGCTAGCAGCTGTTTGGGGTTCATATATTTAATTTGTATTATTTAAAACACTATATTTGGAGCGCAGGAGGGTCACACCACTATTGCTAATATCACCGCTGCTATACTTACTGTGATATCCTCCAATGATGAGTCTATGATCTTATAATTATCAGGCAAACAATAAAACATCAACGTGTGCAGGTTCAGAAAAACGTGGTGACTGAATTGGACACTATGAATATATGCATGAGACTTCAAACCTCGGCCTAAAGACAAGAAACAATCATCAATTAAAAACTTGTCTTTTTCATCCACCAGTTATATGCTCAGTAATACTCTATAAGTGTTACTCACCCTGGAAGTATTTGCCACACACTAGACAGGCATATGCGTTGATGTGAGACAATGAAATAGAACATAACTTTTCAAAGTCAAAATCCAGCACACTCCTGATAAAAGCAGACAAGGAAACATTAGATGAGACTTGTAGGCAAACAGCGCCTGGAAAAGCACACTCTCAGTATACAAACCTGTTAATAGTGTCTAGGTATGGGCAATGTCGGCTACGTCTGTCCTCGTGATCACTGCGACTATATTTTACTTGAACTGAAAAAACAAAAACAGTTGTACCAATGGATCATATTTCTCCACAGACATGTTAAAGCGGAGTTCCACTCACGCTGTCAAAAAATAAAAGTCTGCAGCTACAAAAACTGTAGCTGCTGACTTTTAAAAAAACAGCCACTTACCTGTCCCTCGGTCCCGCAGTGTGTCCCCTGCAGTACGTTTCACAGGCCTGTATTCTAGGAGGCCGGCATCTTCAGTGTGGGCACCCAGCTCTGATAGCTTGCGGCTTCACAGCCAGGTATCCACTGCGCATGCGTGAGTAGCGCTGTGCTTCATGAATGGTCCTATAGTCTTCTGGGACCTGTCACGTGTCCCAAAAGACTACAGGGAGGGAGGACACCTTCCGCTTCCGATCGCCTAGGCGATCGGATAAGAAGTGGGAGAAAGGTACCTGTCTAATTCGGGTACTGGCTCCCCCCCCCGCCCCCCAAAGGTGCCAATCCTTAATGGAGAGCAGTCCTTAAAGCGGAAGTTCCCCTTTTGGGTGGAGCTACGCTTTAAGATAATGTAAGATTAGGACCTTCAGAAAAACACAATAAAGAGGCTTGAGATTTACAGATACATGTTAAAATCAAAAGATGTTGAAACTGTTACATTAGAAAGTGGTATAGCCTTCTGCCAATATAGGGGCATATAAGAATGACAGTGCAGTCCTCCATATACATATTTCATCACTTGTTGACTCAGAATAAGAATGTGCACCGACTTTTTTAAAAGGGGTATATTTGAGGACTCACAGCTTTTTAACAGTTTTGTTGCAGTTTCAAACGAAGGTTAAAAATAAATCTGCCAAAGACCATTTTCAGTCAACAGCCATTATATTTAGTATAAAAATATTCTCAAAAGAAAATGTTCTGCCACAGTGCTATACTGTCTTCTTGTAAGATCTAGGATACTCTGCATTCCCGGGATGTTGCCAGAAGGACCCTTCTAGAGATCCACCCTCTCTATTAGTCCTCTTTTACTGTTATCACCGAGGATGAAAGTAAACAAAACCCCCAAATTTTGCGCTGTCCCCATAACAGGAATAGAAGGGAAATCTTCAGATGGGGACTCTAGTTCTGGTGACAAACAGGGATTCCCTCACTTTGTAGGGATTTTCTCCCACTTACTGTTTTGGCTATGGGACCAGAAGTAAAGACTGCAAAAATAAAACTGACGGGTTATAACACTCTCTTACTCTATCCAAAATGAAAGAAGTGCCTTTAGTTCTACTTTGATTGCATTGAAGTTGTTCTGGGACTTCACCTAACAGAGGGCATTAGCCAGCTGCTGGCCGATTCAGTGTCACAGAAGAGCACAAGTAGATGCACTCCTGTAACCCATATTAGAAGTATGGACAAAAAAAGCTTTGTTCATAGTTCTAAAAAGCGTTAGCTGGAGTTCAGTTTCAATTTGTTAATGTATTTAACTACTTGAGCACCAGATCAATTCTGACAGTCTTTTCCAACCGGTAAAAATCAGCTAGAAAATTACTTAGAACCCCCAAACTTTATTTTTTAGCAGAAGCCTTAGAGAATAAAATGGTGCGTGTTTATAATTTTTTTATGTCACACAGTATTTGTGCAGCGGTCTTTTAAAATGCAATTAAAAAAACAAACCCAAAACACAATTTAACTGCTTCCCGTCCGCCCTATAGCAGAAGTACTGTTAAAGGGCGGCACGGGTGTGCAAAATCACATATACGTGATTATGCATTTTCGAGTAGGGGTGCGCGTCCTACCCGCGCCATCATTCGCGACCTCGGCTCTCTGACGGCGGGAGAACTGTTTGTAAACAAAACAGTTTTCTCCCCTGTCAGCTCCTGCACACTGCTTTGCATACCATGCAAAGCAGTGTGCTTACAGTGAAGCACAAACACAGCCCAGTATGTAAAACAGCACAGTTAACCCTTTGATCGCCCCACGTTAACCCCTTCCTGCTCAGTGCAATTAGTATAGTGTCAGTGCTTTTTATTAGTACTGATCACTGTATTGGTGTGTCACTGGGGGTGTCAGTTCCCCCCAGTGTCAGAATGCCCGCCGCAGTCCCGCTATAAGTCGCTGATAGCCGTCATTACTAGTAAAAATTAAAAAAAAAAAAAAAAAAAAAAAGAAATCCCAGAATATATACTGCCATTTGTAAACACGATAACTTTCACGTAAACCAATTATTTTACATGTATTCAGATTTTTTTTTTTTTTAGCAAAGACATGTAGCAGAATACATTTTGGCCTAAATGTATCACAAAATTTCATTTTCTAAATTTTTTTTTTACTGGACATGTTTAATAGCAAAAAGTAAAAAAGTTTTTTTCCTCAAAATTGTAGGTTTTTTTTTTATAGTGCAAAAAAAAAAAAAAACCGCAAAGGCAATAAAATACCACCAAAAGAATGCTCTTTTTGTGGGAAAAAGGACAGGACATACATTTCAGTTGGGTGCAGTGTTGCATAACCGCGCAATTGTCAGTTAAAGTAATGCAGCGCCATAACGCAAAAAATGGCCTGGTCGGGGGGGGGGGGGTTTAAATCCTCTGGAGGACAAGTGGCTAATGAATTTTAATGCACAAAAAAATATAATACCCAATTGTTTGGTAAAAAATATAAAAGATGATCTTACACTTATTAGATGGGTTTCAAACATGTTAAGCTTTAAAATTGTGCACACCTGTGGAATGGCGAACAACCATCAATGCTTAAAAATCCCTATAGACGACACTTTTAAAAACCTTTACAGGGTACCAGTTTAGAGTTTCACATGGACTCTGGTGCTAGATGTATTGCTCTTGCTAGAACGTTCGCGGTGATACCTCATGTGTGGCAAGAACACTGTTTACATATGTGTGTGTGCAACTTATGTATGCGTTCACCTTTGTGCACAGGGGTGGTTTAACTTTGTTTTTTTTATTATTTACATTTTTTTTATTCTTACACTGTCTCTTGAATTTTTTTATATCACTTTTATGGCTATCACGAGGGTTGAACAACATCCCTTGTGATAGTTGGAGCAGTGACAGGTCCTTATGGAGAGATCTGGGTTCTATTAGACCCCAGATCTCTCCTCTGCCCTTCAAAGCATCGCTTCAAACTGAGACGGGTTTGATCAGATCCTTTTACAAGCCAGTAACAGTTAATTTACATTAGACTGAAACTGAACGTGACAAAATATTCATCGCTTCTGGTTTTGTAGACCATAGAGATGATTGGAGACATTCCGATGCTAGGTCACCTCTATAGTCAGCCAGTGGAAACTCCAGCTTCAGTCCCAGGCTCCCCAGTGAGATGGAAAGACTGGGAAGGTGGTAGGAGAGGAGGGGGACCCCTTCTGCTGCCTGTAAAAGTGATCCAGCAGCTAACTAGCTGCTAGGATTGTTTTTACCTTGCAATCCATTGTCGGCTGCAGTTAAAATAAATAAAAGCTGGATGATACAGGCAACATCCCAGTATAACCCCTTCAATCTGGTAACCTACAGATACATCGCTAAAGCGATTAACCACTTGCCCTCCAGAGGATTTACCCCCCTTCCTGACCAGGCCATTGTTTTGCGTTACAGCGCTGCATTACTTTAACTGACAATTGTGCGGTCATGCATTGCTGCACCCAAATGAAATTCAAGTCCTTTTTTTCCCCCAAATTGAGCTTTCTTTCGGTGGCATTTGATCGCCTGTGCGCTTTTTATGTTTTGCACTATAAAAAAAAAAAAAGACCAACGGTTTTGAGAACAAAAACATTTTTAACTTTTTGCTATTAAACATGTCCAGTGAAAAAAAAAAATCAAATTTAATCATAAATTTAGGCCAAAATGTATTCTGCTACATGTCTTTGCTTAAAAAAAATCTGAATACATGTAAATTAAATGGTTTATGTGAAAGTTATAGTGTTTAAAAATGGTGATATATAGACTGGGATTTTTTGTTTTTTTTTTTTTACTAGTAATGGCGGCAATCAGCGTCTAATACCGGGACTGCATTCTTACACTGGGTGGGAACTGATTTGGTGTCACCAACGTCCCCAGTGACCCCAATACAGTAATCATTGCTAAAAAAAGAAAAAGCACTGACACTGTACTACTGGCACTGGGCAGGAAGGGGTTAACATAAGGATTAACTGTGTGCTGGGTGTGTTTTACTAGGGGGCGGTGTCAGTGGTGCTTCATTGTAAGCACACTGCTTTGGATGGCTGTGCTGTGCACAGCCAAACAAAGCAGTGTGCCCGAGCTGACAGGAAGGAGAAGTGTTAGAAAACAAAACTGTTCTTCTCCCATCGGAGATCCACAGTAATCACTGGCCGAGACCCAGTGATTGAAAGCCACGGCCAGGAATGGCAGGTAGGGCATGTACCCACCCGGAAAAGCAAAATCACGTATATATACACACACACGTGATTTTGCACACCCGTGCCACCCTGTAGCAGAATTTTTGCTATAGGGCAGTCAGGAAGGGTTTAAAGTGGTTGTACAGGCTGAAGGTTTTTTACCTTCATGGATTCGATGCATGAAGGTAAAACACATTCTGTGTGCAGCAGTGCCCCCAGCCCCCTCAATACTTACTTGAGCCTCATCACGATCCAGTGATGTGAACAACAGCCTCAGCTGTCCCTGGTCTCTGCCTCCTCATTGGCTGAGACAGCAAGTAGGAGCCAGTGGCTCCCGCTGCTGTTAATCAGTCAGTCAGCCAGCCAATGAGGAGAAAGAGGGGGCAGGGCAAAGCAATGGCTCCATGTGCAAATGGACACACAGCAGCGGGTGCCCCCATAGCAAGCTGCTTGCTGTGGGGGCACCTGACTAGGGAGGGGCCAGGAGAGCCTGAAGGGGACCCAAGAAGAGGAGGATCCAGGCTGCTCTGTGCAAAACCACTGCACACAGCAGGTAAGTATAACATGTTTGTTATTTTAAAGAAAAAAAAAGAAAGAAGAACCTTTAGAATCGTTTTAGCCCCCTCCCTGAGAATGCTGCTGTCCAAATGCCCCCCTGTGCTCCTTCCTCCAGAGTGAAAGTGCTACAATCAATGAAGAGTTTTAATAGGTCAGGGAGTGACAAAGCCAAGCCTCCTGGGTGAGAGAGGCCTTAGGGGCTCAGCAGGCCTACACATACCCCAGCCCTGCCCTCTGTATGCCTTAGGCCAGGGGTAGACATTGAACACTGCTCCAGGCCACACTCAGGCCCTGCAATGAAGGATTCTATTCTGCGAGGAGCCATCTGGGATCCGGGCCTCACACAGGCGCACTGTGAGTATGACTCCATACATCACCCCCATGGTAAGGCGAGCATTACAGGCCACCCTCACCTCTCCCAGTAACCAACGGCTCCTCCGCCTCCCGCTTTATCTTCTTGTAGGCGCTCATCCTTCTCTCCACACCGGTACTGCGTACCGAGCCTCGTTATGGCTAAGCCTCCGCCCTCTACCGGGATCCAGCTACTGATTGGTGGCCGTGCTACAAGAACGAGGCTTCACTCAAATACTTGATTGTGATTGGAGGCTGCCTGTAAAAGGCTTGGTGCACAATTAGCCAATGGCCAGTGAGACTGGTGACCGTAACCAATCAACGCTACGTCTGTATGCTACCTCGTAGCCAATTAGGGGGAGCGGTATGGAATACCGGAGCGAATCAGAAGGTGGACTCTTAGAGCCGCCGGTGGGGAGAGCGGTAGCATGGACGAGGAAGCGGAGCAGCAGGCCAAGTCTGGGCCCGGGGGGCGGCTGGATATGAATCATGGCTTCGTTCATCACATCCGCCGAAACCAGATAGCGCGGTGAGAGAGCAGCAGACAGAAGTCATTCATTGCAGCTGACTGATGTCAGTGCCATAGAGTGCGGTGATGGGCTGTCAGTGCTGTAGACTGGGGTGAGCTGTGTCAGTGCTATAAAGTGGGCTGTCAGTGCCGGAGAGTGAGTTGATGGGCTGTCAGTGCTGTAGAGTGAGGCTGTTGTCAGTGCTATAAAGTGGGCTGTCAGTGCGGAGAGTGGGCTGATGGGCTGTCAGTGCCGGAGAGTGAGGCTGTTGTCAGTGCCGGAGAGTGGGGTGATGGGTTGGCAGTGCCGTAGAGTGAGGCTGTTGTCAGTGCTATAAAGTGGGCTGTCAGTAGTGTAGAGTGGGGAGATGGGCTGTCAGTGCTATAAAGTGGGCTGTCAGTGTCGAAGAGCAGGGGCGATGGGCTGTCAGTACCACTAGGGAACATCATTAAAGTCGATGAACTAAAACCAACTGAAGTCAGTAGTACATGGTGTCCAGTAACCATAGACCCTTGGCCCTTTTTTGACCCGTATGTGAATGTAGCTTATACTGGAACTAAACCTGCTGATTTAGCTGCTTCCCAAAACAGTTACATTCAAGGCCTAATAGTTTTTTTTTTTGTCTCATTAGGGAGATTTACCTCCACTTCCTGTTCTGTAGACTCAACAGGAAGTGAGAGAATCTCTTTCCAATGTCAGGGAAATCCAGACAGGAACGGGTGTCCCCAGTGGAAGATTTCCCTTCTATTCCTGTTCTGGTGGCAATTCACTCTCATTTCTGGTGACATTTGTGATCAGTGTAATTAGAGACACTTTATCTCCTTGCCAGGTGACAGACAGCGAAAAAATATATGATAGATTCACTACCCCCTCACACCTCTAAATAGTGATGCCTGGCAGGACGTCACTCAGCACCAAACCGTGGAGTCATTTTGGGAGGCGATCTGTCACAGTGGTGATATAATCTGGAGCCATCTAGTTCTTGGTTTCCCCATCGGCCTCAGTTTACATTACTTTACCTGTAGCATAGGTTCACGTTACAGGTCATGCCACTAGCCATCCTGCAGGTAGCAGCATCTAACCTGCAGGCAGATCACCAAAAAGAGAACCAGCCACCTGTCACCAGCAACCTCCAGCAAGGAGAACTGACCACATAGTCAGGACATCATTAGCGTTTGTGCTGAGATTTCACTTTATTTTTAATCATTAGTTCACCAGAATTTTTCATGATCAACAGATTATTTTTGAAATATAAAAATAAAAAATATATATACACACACACACTATATTGCCAAACTTATTGGGATCATGAACTTTAATGGCATCCCAGTCTTAGTCCGTAGGGTTCAATATTGAGTTGGCCCACCCTTTGCAGCTATAACAGCTTCAACTCTTCTGGGAAGGCTGTCCATAAGGTTCAGGAGTGTGTCTATGGGAATGTTTGACCATTCTTCCAGAAGCACATTTGTGAGGTCAGGGACTGATTTTGGATGAGAAGGCCTAGCTCACAGTCTCCGCTCTAATTCATCCCAAAGGTGTTCTGTCCGGTTGAGGTCAGAATTCTGTGCAGGTCAGTCAAGTTCTTCCACCGCAAACTCGCTCATCCATGTCTTTATGGACCTTGGTTTGTGCACTGGTGACCAGTCATGTTGAAACAGGAAGGGGCCATCCCCAAACTGTTCCTTCAAAGCTGGGAGCAAAAAAGTGTCCAAAATGTCTTGGTATGCTGACGCCTTAAGAGTTCCTTTCACTGGAACTAAGGGGGCCAAGCCCAACCCCTGAAGAAAAACCCCACACCATAATCCCCCCTCCACCAAACTTTACACTTGGCACAATGCAGTCAGGCAAGTACCGTTCTTCTGGCAACCGCCAAACCCACACACATCCGTTGGATTGCCAGACAGAGAAGCATGATTCGTCACTCCAAAGAACACGTCTCCGCTGCTCTAGAATCCAGTGGCGGCGTGCTTTACACCACTGCATCTGACACTTTGCATTGCACTTGGTGATGTATGGCTTGGATGCAGCTGCTCGGCCATGGAAACCCATTCCATGAACCTCTCTACACACTGTTGTTGTGCTAATCTTTAGCTATTGACTCTGCATACAGTTGGTGGTTTCTGTGAACTGTGTGCTTCAGCATGCGCTGACCCCGCTCTGTCATGTTACGTGGCCTACCACTGCATGGCTGAGTTGCTGTTGTTCCCAGTTGCTTCCACTTTGTTATAATACTACTAACAGTTGACCGTGGAATATTTAGTAGCAAAGAGATGACACAGATGGACTTATTGCACAGGTGGCAACCTATCACGGTACCATGCTTGAACTCGCTGAGCTCCTGAGAGTGACCCATTATTTCACAAATGTTTGTAGAAGCAGTCTGCATGCCTAGGTGCTTGATTTTATACACCTGTGGCCATGGAGGTGATTGGAACACCTGAATCCAATGATTTGGAAGTGTGTGTTTTGTAGGGCTCTGGCAGTGCTCATCCTGTTCCTCCTTGCACAAAAGAAGCAGATACCGGTTCTGCTGGTGGGTTAAGGACCTTCTACGGCCCTGTCCAGCTCTTCTAGAGAAACTGCCTGTCTCCTGGAATCTCCTCCATGCTCTTGAGACTGTGCTGGGAGACACAGCAAATCTTCTTGCAATGGCATGTATTGATGTGCTGTCCTGGAGCAGTTAGAGTGCCTGTGCAACCTCTAAAGGTTCCAGGTATCACCTTATGCTACCAGTAGTGACACTGACCGTAGCCAAATGCAAAACTAGTGAAAAACAGTCAGAAAAAAGATGAGTAGGGAAAGAAATGTCAGTGGCCTCCACCTGTAAAACCATTCCTGTTTTGGGGATCATCTCATTGTTGCCCATCTAGTGCACCTGTTGTTAATTTCATTAACACCAAAGCAGCTGAAACTGATTAACAACCCCCTCTGCTACTTAACTGACCAGATCAATATCCCAGGAGTTTAATTGGCTGGTTGCTATACTCAGATTAAAAAGTGTTCCTTTAACTTTTTTGAGTGTGTGTGTGTATGTATGTATGTATATGTATATATATGTGTGTGTGTGTGTGTGTGTGTGTGTATATGTGTATATGTATATATATATATATATATATATATAATGCTGCTGTACTCCTGTGAATGCCGATGCTTTTTTTGCATTTTCCCTTGCCCATGCATGTGTGTCTACTGTATTTCCCCAAAATGGTAGTTTTGTATTCAGAAAATATGTCAGACACGCATGTATGAGTAAGCGGCAATACAAAGCATCAGCATTTACAAGAGTACTCACAATAACTTGTAGGGCAGGCTGTACAGGGCACGTGCAGCTTCCCTGTGGCAGGAACATTTATGCTAGGTATAACACATGCCTATAATATTTTGTGTTTATAAACCCCTAATCACTTACTGAGTATGAAACTTCTTTATCATTGAATCCTTCACAATGTTTCTGTTTTAGCAGATGCTAAGACTGCTACCCCAGATTTCATGTTTCAACGTAGCTCCTATCTCTCGCAGCATCCTATGGAGCCACCTTTGCTTTCCGAGACTAGAGTTTTATCTCCCCCCTACATTGCGTGCATCAATAGAAACACGCAGCCCTGTAGCCTAGAATGGCAAGGCATTGCCCTGCTCCTCCCTCCTCATCTTCTCCTTTCTCTTTCCCATCCTCAGACTTTAGTGTCCAATGTTAACTTCTTCCTGTAAGTCCACATGTGATCAGTATGAAAGTAGCTTGGAAAGTGCTGGAATAGAATTAACAAATCATTTACAAGGGGAATGTTGTTGTTTTTTTTTTTGTTTTTTTAAAAAAAAGGGTTTAATACTTCTTTAATTTTTAGTTAAATGCTGATGTTTAAATCTTTTCTTTTATGACTAGAGATGATTATGACAAGGAAGTAAAACAAGCTAAAGAGAAGCAAAAGAAAAGGTATACCCCAAGGCCTTCACGCCCCAAGAAACCGGACTTGCAGGTTTACCACCCCCGTCAGAGAGGTAACCTTAAATGTGCAGATTATTATATGTTAGCCAGTTAGGTTCCCTATGTGCTTTTTTTTTTTTTTTTTTTTTTTTTTCTGAAATGTGAAGGCCCGAAATTATTATTTCAGGTTTGTACGGTTAATGACTTGGTAGTGGTGAGCTGTCCCCACCAGAACTCTCATTTTTTCACAGCTGCCGTGTCCATTTCGAAGCCAAACACTGGTGTCCTACCCCTCTGATAGAGTACCCATAATGTACAAAAAGCTGGGGAGTCCAGCTGCTGGAGTGTGACACCATGATTGTGTCCTTGTCAGATGGGATGGAGATGCAACCATGCCACAGGAGTCTAAGTGCTAAAGAAAAAAAAAAAAAGGAAATCCAGCAAGTGGTTTAACCCAGAGACAAACACCCCAAACTCAATAGCAGGTTTGGGCGGTGTATGCTTCTAGCTAAAGAAGAACTTCAGGTTTAAAGTGGTTGTAAACCTCAATAGAAATCTGAACAATGCATATTCCTCTATAGTGTGTACTTGTCTTAATTAAGAGAACTAAGTGTCATTTCTGTCTGCTGCCCTGTTCCTCTGCTATCGGCACAAATCCCTTTGTTTTCCCCAGTTTTCCTGACACCGAGAGAAAAATGGTGACAGGGAGGGACCTCTAGCAGATTGACAGCCTCAACTTTGTTCCTGTGAGTTGTGTGGAAAGGGTGTCTTTTTCCCTCCAACCAGCTCTCAGCTTTCCTCACTGAGCTCTGCAGTGTGTAATTTCAGCTGTCCGCCCTCTGCTTTCTGAACTCTCAGACAAGCTTTAAAATTTCAGCACTTTGTACAGATTCAGAGAAGAGAAGACTGCAGATAACAGGTACAACTTATGGATTTGTTTAATCTCTGTGTATTACCGGAGGCCAGTTACTTCACTGGGTATATGTAAGGGTTTACTACCACTTTAACCACTTCCCATCCAGCCCATGTACATAAACGGCCAGACAGGAGCAGTGCAGGAGTGGGTGGCCATTGATAAACATTCTCCCTCTTCCCTGCCTGTGCACCTCCGGACACAGCAGAACACTGATCGCTGTTCGGGACCTCTGTGTGAAGTCCCAATCATGTGATCACTGATTGGCCAATCAGTGATCACATGAATAGTAGTAAGCAAGATGTCACTTCTGACATCATTACGTACTACTAGTGAAATCTGTGTATAATCACAAAGGTCACATGGTACAAGGCTATGCACAACAGCCTTGTACCATGTGACAAGCTGTGACCAATCACAGCTCTCACAGTATTTCTCAATGCCTGGAAGAATGCAGCTAGCGAGAAGGAGAAATTATTGCTTTTACAGCCTTTATGTAAAAGCAATCAATGTAAATGAAAAAAAAAAAAAAAAATCTTCATCACCCCCCCCACAAGTAGTAGAGTGTCACTATGGTGACACTGTACTGCTAGGGTGACAGTATTTTAAAAAAAATAAAAAAATAATAATAATAAAAATGTTTATTTATAATTTTTGGTTATAAACTAATTTTGGGTTATTTTTTTTTTTTTTTTTTTTTTAGATAGCTGAATACATTTTTGCCAAGATTTTTAAAGAAAGATTATTTGCAAAATTTTATAAGAAAAACACTTTTTTTCAAAATGTTTGGACTTTTTCATTTATATAGCAAGAAAAAATCCCAGTGATGAATAAATACCACCAAAATAAAGTTTTATCTGTCTCAAAAAATGCAAAAAAATGTGTATGGGTACAGTATTGCATGACAGCGCAATTGTCATTCAAAGTGTGACAGCGCTGAAAGCTGAAAATTGACCTGGACAGGAAGGGGGTGAAAGTGTCCGGACTTGAAGTGGTTAAGCATTCGAATACTTAAAGCGGAACTAAACCGACTGACTTAACAGTTTTAAAAAGAGTTACATTCCTCAACCAAACTGTCAAACCATCAAATGGCTGATCACATGTGTAGCATCATGGCAGTTGAGGATCAAATAGAGGCTAAGATGACTGCTTCCTCGGCTGAAAAGGAAAGGAGGGTGTAGTTCTGCTTTGAAGCTGAACATTAGGAAATTGAAAAACTATCCCTTGCAGTGGGGCTGCGCTCACACTGCAGGAGATAAAGGATAAGTTCACTTTAACCCTTTGAGGACCAAGGGAGGTATTTTCCCATGTTTTTAATTGCGTGTATCATCTGATTAAGAACTTTAAAACTCCTTTTTTTTTTTTTTTTTTTTGGTTTGAGTCAAAAATATTAGTTCTTATCAACAAACAACAAATGGATCTAGCTTTTTCAGCCAATTATTTAATGAAATGGCTTAGTTACAACAACTGAAGTGTACGAACTTTAAAAACAAAAAAATTGATTCTTTTGGCGTTCCAAAATCTTACGGTCCTCAAAGGGGTTAAACAAAAAATTAAACAACCCCCCTATTTTTTTTTTTTTTTTTTTTTTTTTTTGTTTTGTAAAGCATTGCAGGACTCCAGCAGACTGTCAGCATAATCTGTGTGCTTGTACCTCGTACGGCCAGACAGTTTTACAATGACTGGAAGACTCCATGAACTACCACAGCGCTAAACAGTGCTGTGATAGTTCACTGAGAACTACAAGCCGACGTTCGCAAAGGATGGTCTGTACATGTAGTTCCTTCACAGAACTCTGTATAACGCGGCCGTATGGGTGGAGCCACGCAGAGCTGCTTTGTTTTAAAAAAGTGACAGCTAGCACGGGAAACTTCTCCCTGTACTTCTGTAACAGGGAGAGGGGGGCGATTTCTGTAGCCCAGGAGGTAGAAATCTAGTGCTGGACTGTATAAGATATAGACGTAGTGCAGCGCTATAAAATGACATCACATCTACATAGCTCATAAACAGATGTGTCACTAAATGTACAGATAACATAAATATAGAATTATCCTTGTATGGATCAACACGTGCTCAACTGGTGCGTAAATCCCTTGGAGGGATATGTGATATGCATAATTAGACACAAGACAAATGGGTATCCTTAAAATGAGAAAACACTCTTCATGCAGGTGTGCAACCGATGCGTGACAATCCTCAGTGCCTAGGGTGCCCCCTCACCTTCCTGCCCAGGCCCCACAGGGCCAATGAGCCTTATAGTATTGCTGCTCCAAAGTATGGATTCCTCCTTAGCAGTGGTGTTGGGACTCTCTCCTCCTCTAATAGCAAGGTCTCCCCTGTATACTCCTGCTTCTTAAGACCAGTAGCTCTCCATGCACGTCCCCAGTAAGGCAAGAAAATCCAATATAGTGTAAAACCATAGATTTATTGAGGTAATAAACTTGAATCTGCTCACATAAGAAGATATGTTTCAGCGTTTTCCACCACAAGATGGGTGTACTGCATGTGTGGGTATTTCCGGGTGTACCAAGATGGCGTCTACGTCGTTGCACACCAAAGCAGTGTGCCGAGCTGACAGGGAAAACTGTTAGTAAACAAAACAGTCCTCCTCCCTGTCGGAGATCCTCGGAAATCACCAGGTGCCGGCGGGTTATCACCAGCTGGGACCCAGTATTGACAGCCGCGAATGGCGGCACGGGTAGGGCAGTTGCGCGCATGCCCCCTACCCGGAAATGCAAAATCACATCATATATATATATATATATATATATATGTATGTATGTGTGTGTGATTTTGCGCACCCGTGCTGCCCTGTAGCAGTGTTTCTGCTATAGGGCAGTCGGGAAGCCGTTAAAGTAACACTGAGGAATACCCAAAAAATGACTAAATATATTAGGATCGCTCAGTGGCATTATCCGATTCAGCGCTAACAGTGTCTAGGTGCCTTGTCTCCAAGATGTATCCTAGCTAGTATATAGAATGACTGACTGAGAAGAACCTTTCTGTTGTCCAGATTTAGATTGCAGATATGGGCTAGGGTTACACATGGGGTTGCAATCCCTTGCTTCTGAAAGATTTTATCACTTGTGGGCAATTCCTAAAACTAATCTGATACTAAGGAGATAATTATAGACATAGTTAAATCTCTCCCTAGCAAAAGGTTAGCATTGCCCTTGTATTCCTAGCTTTTGACACATGTTGGAAGTAGTGGTACACCGAAATGAAAATTCTTAAACTGAAACTAAAAATTCAGAATGCATTTGGCCAAAAACCGAAATGGACAGTTTTTTTAAAAATGCCCAGCAACAAGTTGGCCAAAAAGAAATAAAATGCGTCAAAAACACGCATGCAAAATGGACAAAACACAAACTGGATTGGTGTGAACCAGGCATATGTGTTGCGTTTTGGATGCTATTTGCATTTTTTATCTGCCCAGCAGCAAGTTAGCCAAAAAAATTTCAACAAAACGCATTAAAAAAAACGTGCATTTAAAATGGAGAAAACGCAAACTGCATTGGCGTGAACCAGGCTTGAAATGCATTGAAAACCCTTCAAAAATGCACACGTGTTGCTTTTTGTTTTTTGTTTTTTTTACCTTTGACAATAGCACCCTAAACGTGGTAAAATTGCACGTAAAAATTGTGTGTTTTTGGCGGCCATTATCGGCAAAATGCCGATAACACTATTTTTGGCTGATACATTCGGCCATCAAAATTTCTGTGCATCCACAGTTGGAAGGCAATCAAACTGCCTATGGGCAGAGGTCTGTTTGAGTGAAAATGTATGTCTGTATTGCATTGCTAAAGCTGTCAGTCGCAACCTTGACTTTTTCTTAAGCTAAAGTTTTTCTTGATTGTGCAGGTTTTCTGTCTGAGATTTCATCTTGTGCCTCTCCTTAGAAAGTTCCCACCCCAGTGCAGGTTTGGCCGAGGATGACATTAGTGAGAGCAGTTCAAGTACGGACCCTGAGCAGCTTGGAAATCAACTCTTCTGTTTGGAGTTTGAGGCAGACGATGGCGAGGTCACATCTATCATTGTGTATGAGGTATGCACATTTTACTACACGCAGTTCTGTAGAGAATATTATGTGATCATGGAGCTGGCCTCCTCTTAACCCCACCACCCCACCTGCAATGCTCATTTTTTGTTTTGTGGTGTTGTTTTTTTTGTTTTTTTGTTTTTTGTTTTTTTGCGTTCTTTATTTACAAACCATATTTTCCTCTTTTTTTTCCTAGCAGTCAAAACAGGTCACACATCAAAAGGAAAAAAAGTACATATAAAAAAAATACCACAGCAGCAAACACACCCTGTAGCGGGTGCAAAAAGTTTTGAGATGTAACAAGAAACAGGATTGAGCCCCAGGACCCCAACACTGTAGAACGGGAGTTCAAATACAAGAGCCCTATGCATAAAGTTGTATAGGCATATGATCAGCACCATGGCTACCTGCATCAGCACCACTTGATGCAGGTTCAATGCGCTCTTTTAATCCATGTTAGGAAAATGAACTAGCAAGGCCTAACCAAATAGCAAGGAAAATGTAGAAAAATATAATAAAACAAATGTCACTGTAAAAATACAAACTTAGGCTACCTTAAAAATGGCCAATGTCAGTCAGTCAGCAGGGCAGTGGACGGTGTCAGTAAGGCAGAGGTTGGTGTCAGTCAGAAGAGCAGTGGATGGTGTGAATAGAGCAGTGGGAGTCAGTAGGGAAGAGGTTGGTGTCAGTAGATTTTATTTTTACAGGTAACAAAACATCTTGAGCCAATCACCATGGACCGGCAGAGAAGGAGAGGGTTGGGAAGTGTGGAAATTGTGACACCCCCCCATACTAGTTATATAATCCCATCCTTGGTGTTGGGAAGAATTTATAAATATCATTCCTTGATGTATATGAAGGAAGGTGTGAATTGTCATCCCCAGGTACAAATGTTAAAATGACATTATATGTGGAAGACAGGTGGTGCTGAAGGCCCCCACTCCTGTCCAGACTGAAACAGTTATCCCTGAACAGTGGGAACCGTAAACACCATGTGTCTTCCACATATAGTGCCATATCAACATTGCACCGATCAGTCATACCATTACGACCATCCATCATAACCCGTCGAGGCATGGACTCCACTAGAGCTCTGAAGGTATGCTGTGGTATCTAGCACCAACCTGTCAGTAGCAGATCCTTTTGGCCCTGTATGTTGCAAGTGGGGGCCTTCATGGATAGAACTTATTTTTCCAGCACACATCACAGATGTTCGATTTGGAGAATTTGGAGGCCAAGTCAACACCTCAGACTCGTTGTCTTGTTCCTTAAACCACTCTGGAATTCATCAGACCAGGCCACCTTTTTCCATTGCTCTGTGGTCCTGTTCTGATGATCACATGCCCATTGTAGGTGCTTTTGGCTGTGGACGCATGTCAGCATGGGTACCCTGACCAGTCTGCAGCTATGCAGCCCCATATGCAACAAACTGCAATGCACTGCGTGTTTTGACACCTTTTTATCGGACCCATTTAACGCATTAACTTTTTCAGCCATTTTAGCTACAATTCCTCTTCTTTTGGATTGGACTACACAGGCAAGCCTTCACTGCCCGCTTGCATCACTGAGTTTTGGCCTCCCACAGTTTTGCCAGTTTTCCTTCCTTGGATCCCTTGTGTTAGGTCCTGACCACTGCAGACGGAGAACATCCCACAAGATCTGCAGTTTTGAAGATGGTCTGACCCAGTCATCTAACCATTACAATTTTCAAAGTTGCTCAAATATTTTTTTCTGCTTTCAACACATCGACTTCAGTGATAACATGTTCACTTGCTGCCTAATATATCCCACCCACTTTCAGGTGCCATTGTAACAAGATAATCAATGTTCTTCACTTTACATGCCAGTTGTCATAATGCTATGGTTGATATACCCTGGCATTTTGTCAACAATTCACACCTTCAGCCATGTAAATCAAAGAATTAACAATTATGAAGCCTTCCGGAAACCAATGGTGGGATTATGTAACTAGAACAGGGTGGGTCCACAATACCACCTCCCATCCTGTCCTTGGAAATGGCATCTGCCTTTCTGTGGTATTTGGATCAAGGTGTCAGTGCTACCTAATAAATGTTGGGGTAGTTTCCTGACACCAATAGAACTAAAGAGGTGGCATGGATAAGCTACGAAACCTCTTCAACATTACAGAACAAGTCCAGTTAAGTGTGATTACCCACTACTAGAGCTTTTTATGGAGTAATTTTCTCCTATCACGTTAGGGGAGTATTGCGGTTCATTTACAGTCTACCTTGATCTGAGGTCCATTCCTTTATTGCTATTTAAAGTGTTACTTAACCTACAACAGTAAAATCCCATCTGTATATGCAGTAAAGCATGCTTGTTATAATCACTGTGAAACCTAAGAGGTTAATCTTCTGTGTAAAAAGGCTGTTTAATCCTGCCTTCTCTGATCCTCCCCATCTTCTACTGTCCCCAATCCATTTGCTAATAGTACAAAGCTCTAGGAGTCACTCTGCACATGCTAACTTTAGTGTGTATTACTAGAGAGGTTTTTGTTTTCCTTGGGAGAGTGCATATGATCAGCACAGGGCCAATCAGCACTGTCCAGAGAGAGGGTCATGGGTTATGCAGCCTCATAGGACAGTCAGAGCAGAATGAAAACTCCTCCTACAAGATTAACCAGTGATCATGTGGACACTGATAGAAATCACAAGACTGCTATATACTACTGATGAGAAAATGTATTTAGCAGTTTATATTTACTACAAGAAATCCATTTCCATGTAGTGTGTACTGTGAGAGACCAGATATAGTGAATGCAGGGTCATGGGTTTAGTAGCACTTTCTAAGAAATCATTTCTTTATTGAAAACCCTAAGGACATAAAACCTCTTCTGCGCATAACCTTCTCCACAAACCAATGTATTACTTGGTTTTATTATTCTTGCAGGATGATGATGCTGAGCAGGTTGCAGCAAAGATATCCATTCAGAACCAGCTGGAAGCCAAGATGAAAGAAGCCCTTAAAAGAAGGATCCAAGAAGAAATCACCAAGAGACGAGTGCACCGCTGAGTGTCGTGTATTAGAAAAGAGTGCAAATGAGCAAAAGTATTTGCTCTGGTTATACTGTACTGGAATTTGTCCTTCTGAGTTGTGCAGTGTTGACGAGGGAAGACGTAAGAATGTGTATTGATCAGAATGTAGGAATCATGTATCCTTGGACTATTGCAGACTCTGGCTTCAGAGAGTGCTGTCTGCAGCTTTGGAGTTGTTTGCTGTGGGTACATAAGTAACATGAGCTCCATCCTCTGCAACTGGTGATGTGGATCTTTGGCAGATGAGGAATTTGGAGTGCCAGTGCCTTAATTGTTAGCCAAAACTGGCTGGGCTTGAATTTGCTGTTTTTTTATGTTCTATATTTGATCTGGCAATAGTGGTTGTGTTATAAGCCAGACAATAAAATTGTGATAATATTGTATACCATTCGGAGCTGGATCTCAGATGTAATTCCAGGATCTGGATATCTCTGACTTCTCAGCTGAGCTGGAACTGCTACCGTAGGACATTGGGAAATGCAGTTTTGCCCTGGCTGGAGAGTCACAGGATGCTCTTCTAACCAGAGTACAGTTTGAGTTTACAAAAATAAAAGTATTAATAGATTGTGGTTTACCACAATGTTTTGTTTTTTTAAGAGCATCTGGATTTTTATAAAAAAAAATATATATAAAAAAAAAGCTGATAAATAAAAGTGTGACAATATCAATATGTGATCTGGGCTTACTGCCAAAGCTTGTTTAATGCTGTATGGATTCTTACTGTTGCTGTGGGTTGATGCACGTTCTGAAAAGGCAAGTCATTCACTCAAATTGCCTGCCTAACATACCAAAAATTGCTTACTCTGATTTCACTGTACCCTGTGAGCTTCTCCGTGTTCATTAGTAGCTGCAGCAAGTCAAAAAGATTTCCTGACTGGAGGACATCCAGCATCATTAAGCTATTTGCACTCAAGCTTGTACCTGGCCCACCCCTTTTTATTTGGATTTAAAGTAATTGTAAAGGTTTTTTATTTTTTAAATAACAAACATGTCATACTTACCTGCTCTGTGAAACACTTTTGCACAGCATGGCCCCAAACCTTCTCTTCTGGGATCCCCTGCTGATGCTGTCTGCTCCTCATCTCCATCTGTGCCCATAGCAAATGGCTTGCTATGGAGGCAGACATTCTGGCTCCATCCCTAGCTGGGCTGTGTGTATCTATAGATTGAGATCAGACTCAGGTAAGTCTTTACCACTTGAGCTTTGGGATATTTTACCCCCTTCATGACCAGGGCACCTTTTTGCTATTTGGCATTGCGCTACTGTAACTGGCAATTGTGCAGTCATGCAACACTGTACCCAAACAAAATTTATCTTTTTTTTTTTCACACAAATAGAGTTTTCTTTTGGTGGTATATTTATTTTTTGCTGTTTTATTTTATTACAGCCCTGGCCAAAAGTTTTGAGACACAAATATTAATTTACCTGCAAGTGCAGGTCATCATTGCTTTACACAAAAAGGATTCACAGACAAGAATATTGCTGCTACTAAGATTGCACCTAAATCAATCATTTATCAGATCATCAAGGAGAGAGGTTCAATTGTTGTGAAGAAGGCTTCAGAGTGACCAGGAAAGTCCAGCAAGTGCCAGGACTGTCTTCTAAAGTTGATTCAGCTGCGGAATCGGGGCACCACCAGTGCAGAGCTTGCTCAGGAATGGCAGCAAGCAGGTGTGAGTGCATCTGCACACACAGAGAGGGAAAGACTCAACAGTAAAGCATCCTGAGACCATTCATGTGTGAAGTTGCTTCTCAGCCAAGGGAGTGGGCTCACTCACAATTTTGCCTAAGAACACAGCCATGAAGAAATAATGGTACCCAAAAAAAATCCTCTGAGAGCAACTTCTCTTAACCATCCAAGAACAGTTTGGTGACCAACGATGCCTTTTCAGCATGATGGAGCACCTTGCCATAAGGGAAAAGTGATAACTAAGTGGCTTGGGGAACAAAAATCCAAATTTTGGGTCCATGGCCAAGAAATTCCACAGACCTTAATCCCGTTGAGAACTTGTGATCATTCCTCAAGAGGCAAGTGAACAAAAAAAAAAAACCCCACAAATTCTGACAAACTCCAAGCATTGATTATGCAAGAATGGGCTGCCATCAGTCAGGATGTGGCCCAACAGTTGATTGACAGCATGCCAGGGCAAATTGCAGAGATCTTGAAAAAGAAGGGTCAACACTGCAAGTATGGACTCTCTGCATAAACTTAATGTAATTGTCAATAAAAGCCTTTTTTGACACGTATGAAATGCTTGTAATTATACTTCAGTATTCCATAGTAACATCTGACAAAAAGATCTAGCAGAATTTGTGAAAATTGATATTTGTGTAATTCTCAAAACTTTTGGCTAGGGCTGTATTTAAATGAAAAAAGACCAAAACATTTTGAAAAAATATTTTTTTACTTTTTGCTATAAAACATATCCAATAAAAAAAAATGTGAAATTTCTTCATAAATGTAGGCCAAAATGTATTCCCTGCTTTTGTAGGGAGGAAAAAAAACAGGCACATCACTGCTCTCTGTTCAGAGCCCTGTGTTCTATGTAAACACAGGGCTCTGAACTGTCATTCGCTAAGCCGATCATCAGGCCATAAATCATTAGCAAGGACCCTGCTGATCGTCTTGTGCTGTGGTGAATGATCACATGTACGTGATCTGGTGCAGAGGAGCTGCTCTTCTTCAGTAATACTGTGGTAGGCGGTCAGGGAGTGGTTAAGAGGGGCCTGGGGGAGCAGTTTTTGAAAGGTGTGTGTTTTTGTTTTTTCCTTAATGCAGAGAATACATTAAAGTAAAAAAAAAACTTTATGCTTTTAGAAATTCTTTAAAGTGGAACTTTTATCATAACAACTTGATAATATAATGTTCTTTAGCAAGAAACACACCTTCCACATTAATAAGTATGCTACCAAAATGAGTGTGCTGTAAATTGCCTCCAGCATTTCTCCTGTTTCTTTTTGTTGGAGGCTGCCATTTTGCTGAATCCCTGAGCCACTGAACAGAAGTAAAATCATAGAGTGGAACTAAACCCATTGGTTTTAATGTTTAACCACTTCAAGTCCAGACACTTTTACCCCCTTCCTGTCCAGGCCAATTTTCAGTTTTCAGTGCTGTCGTTGAATGCGTGGTCATGCAACACTGTACCCATATGATTTTTTTTTAGCATATTTTTGAGACAGATAAAGCTTTATTTTGGTGGTATTTATTCACCACTGGGATTTTTTTTTTTTTTTTTTTGCTATATAAATGAAAAACTCCAAACATTTTGGAAAAAAAGTGTTTTTTCTTATAAAAAATTTTGCAAATAAATATTTTATCTTAAATCTTGGCCAAAATGTATTCAGTTATCTTTTTAGTAAAAAAAAAAAAAAAAAAAAATAACCTAAATTATTTTATAACCAAAGATTATAATTTGAAAACATTTATTTTTTACATTTTTTTCTACATACTGTCACCCTAGTAGTACAGTGTCACCATGGTGACACTGTACTACTTGTGGGGGGGGTGAGGAAGATTTTTTTTTTTTACACTGATTTCTTTTACACCCATAAAGGCTGTAAATGCAATCATTTCTCCTTCTTCTCTCTGGCTGCATTCTTGCAGCCATTGAGAACTACTGTGTGAGCTGGGATGTCACAGCTTGTCACATGGTACAAGCCTGTTGGAATAGCCTTGTACCATGTGACCTCTGTGATCATTCACAGATTTCACGCGTAGTAAGCAATGATGTCAAAAGTGACATCTTGCTTACTACTTTACATGTGATCGTGACCTCGCACAGAGGTCCCATACGACAATTGGTGTTCCACTGTGTGCGGAGGACACAGTGGACACCGGATCGCGGTGCTGCGCGCTCCCAGTTCAAAATGGTGGGCACGGTTTATGAACGGCAACCCGCCCCTGGACTACCACTGTCTGGCCGTTTATATACAGCGGCTGGACAGCAAGTGGTTAAGAAAAAAACAAAACAAAAAAAAGTTACATTCCTGGAATGCCAAGATTGTTGTCATATTTGCTTGTGTTCTCAACCAAACTGTCAAACCATCAAATGGCTGGTGTCATAACTGATCACATGTGCAGCACCATGGCAGTTGCAGATCAAACAGAAGCAACTTCCTTGGCTCTAAAGGATAGGAGGGTTTAATTGTGCTTTAAGACTGTCAGCAGATCGACCTCTACATATTCAGCAGTGCTTTAAAATTTCTAAAAATGAGAACAACTGAGCATGTGCAGAGCAGGGTGGGACAGTGTATTATTGGATTTTATGCAGTATAGACACTTATTTTGAATGTTTTATATAGCTATACCTACTAAAAAGGGCAGCCTTAAGTGATCTAGCAAGACTTGATTTTCTGACTAAAGTTCCACTTTAAGTTCTTTCGATAATAGATCATAGTGAGCAAGTAAATGCAGACTGCCAAGGAACACCCACACCTCCAGGCTGGCATCCATCCTCCAAGTCCTTTAATTTTGGTATTTACATAATTCCTACCAAAAACTAGCCCACTGCTTGCATCACCCTTCAATTGCTGGTCGGATGCCCCTTCAGTTGGTGGTCAGCAGGATGAACGCCCCTTCAGTTGGTGGACAGCGGGATGAACGACCCTTCAGTTGGTGGTCAGCGGGATGAACGCCCCCTCAGTTGGTGGTCAGCGGGATGAATGCCCCTTCAGTTGGTGGTCAGCGGGATGAACGCCCCTTCAGTTGGTGGTCAGCGGGATGAACGCCCCTTCAGTTGGTTGCCATTGGGAAGAACGCCCCTTCAGTTGGTGTTCGTTGGGAAGAATGCTTCTTCAGTTGGTGGTCAGAGGGAAGAACGTCTCTTCAGTTGGTGGTCAGAGGGAAGAACGTCTCTTCATTGGTGGTCAGAGGGTAGAACGTCTCTTCAGTTGGTGGTCAGAGGGAAGAATGTCTCTTCAGTTGGTGGTCATTGGGAAGAATGCTTCTTCAGTTGTGGTCAGTGGGAAGAATGCCC